CTGCTTAGAAAAATACATATTGAAGTAAATATAGATGAATAGTGTTGAATAAATTAATGAATTTCAGTCTCTTATTTTATCATCTGGCTTTATAAACAAACACTATAACAAAATATTTTATTTCTTTATTTTTATAAAATGCTCATGTATTCTTTACATTTGATACTTACTTCATTTACCTAACAATGTATCATTTAGAATATGTGAGCCAGCTAGCATCTTTAAAATGTATGATGTGATGTTGAGTGCTTTCCTTATTTATTCACAGATAATAAAATTTTTAAACTAATTTTTATTTATTGTGTTACATATGAGGAAAGAAAGTGTCTATGATTCAGTTTCAATATCCTGTTTCTTTAAAAAATATACATTAAATTTACTAAACATTTTCATCCTTAGTCTCTCAGGAGTGCACCTGTAATTTTTATTCTTCCCTATTCTTAAACTAAGATGTGTTAGCTTAAGGGAACAGTGCCTTAACTGCTTGATGGTTCCATATTTTACATCTTTTCCTTTACACACTCTAATTGAGAAGCTCCTATTCCTTATAATCTGAGTGAAGATATAAAACTTTGAGTTTGGGTGAATTATTCAGAGTTCAGAACAACAACAAGAAAAGAAACCACTGTATGTATATCTAGCAAAAAGAAAACACATTCGATAGAGGGAATTAGATGCTTACAATATTGGAAGAACTGGACAAGCAGAAGTGAGAGAGTCAGCACTGACCTCCTGGTTTCAAAGGCATACTACCATTGCTGCAGTGCAGAAACCAGGAAGCTGCTGCTACTGCTACTGCCAAAACTACTGCTCCCACAATGTCCTCTCCCACCTCCAAAACTGGTAACTACACACTGGAACACAGTGTCTGGCTTCCACAATAAAACTGATGGCCAGACACAGAAATGCTGACTTGGCTGCAAGTACTCACATCTTTTTTACCTTCTTTGGTCAACAGTAACAATGGTGGGAAGATGACCTTTCCCTGTCTTCTAAGGCTCATGAGACAGCATCTTGCCGGCAAAACCTAATTTACATCCAGAATAATAATTCAACGAAGTCTGTAAAATGGAGTTTTAAGCTTTCCACAACCTGAATTTTTTTAAAGTTCATAAAAGGAAGAAGGAATGCATGACAGGTGCCACTAGCACACTGGGTAAGTCATTATTGGTTCAAAGGATCTTGACCAGCTACTGAATTTATTACGTTATTGCTTTGGGGGCTAAGCTTTCACTGCAACAAAAATTCTTTTGGCTACAAACAAAACTGATAAACCTTTAGCTAGACTGACCAAGAAAAAAAGAGAGAAGGCTCAAATAAACAAAATCAGAAATGAAAGAAGAGAAATTACAACAGACACTACAGAAATACAAAGGATTATAAGAGAATACTATGAAAAAATACACACCAACAAATTGGAAAATCTAAAGGAAATGGACAAATTCTTAGAATTAGAAAAACCTTCCAAAACTGAATTAAGAAGAAACAGAGAATCTGAATGGACCAATCACTAGTAAGAAGATTGAAAGAGCAATCAAAAAGCTCCCAAAAATCAAAAGTCCAAGACCAGAGAGCTTCCCCACTGAATTCTACCAAACATTCAAAGACTTAATACCTGTCCTCCTCAAACCCTCCCCAAAAACTGAAGAGGAGGGGGTGCTTCTTAACTTATTCTATGAAGCCAACATTTCCAGGATACCCAAACCAGACAAGGACAACAGAAAAATAGAAAATTACAAGCCAATATCACTGATGAACATAGATGCAAAAATTCTCAACAAGCTACTAGCAAATCAAATACAATACATTAAAAAGATCATACACCATGATCAAGTGAGATTTATTCCAGAGACCCAAGAATGGTTCAACATCTGAAAATCTATCAATGTGATACACCACATTAACAAAATGAAGAATAAAAATCACACGATCATATCAATAGACACAGAGAAAGCATTTGACAAGATTCAACATCCATTTTATGATTAAAAATCCTGAGTAAAACGGGTATAGAAGGAAAGTCATCAACATAATAAAGGCCATACATGACAAACCCACAGCCAACATTATACTCAACAGTGAAAAACTGAAAGCTATTCCCCTAAGAACAGGAACAAGACACCGATACCCACTGTTACCACTCTTATTCAACACAGTATTGGAAGTCCTAGCCAGAACAATCCAGCAAGAAAAAGAAAGAAAAGGGATCCAAATTGGAAAGGAAGAAGTGAAACAGTCACTATTTGCAGATGACATGATTCTATATAAAGAAAAGCCTAAAGAATCCACAGAAAAAATATTGGAAATAATAAATGAATACAGTAAACTTGCAGGGTAGAAAATCAACATACAAAAGCTAGTTGCATTTCTATACACTAACAATGAAATAGCAGAAAGAGAAATTAAGAATACAATCCCAACAAAAAGAATAAAATACCTAGGCATAAATTTAACCAAAGAGGTGAAAGACCTGTACACTGAAAACTATTGTTGAGAGAAATCGAAGAAGACACAAAGAAATGGAAAGATATTCCGTACTCATGGGTTGGAAGAATCAACATAGTTAAAATGTCCATACTTCCTAAAGCAATCTACAGATTCAATGAAATCTCTATCAAAGTCCCAGTGACATTTTTCATGGAAATAGAACAAAGAATCCTAAAATTTATATTAAACAAAAGACCCTGAGGAGCCAAAGGAATCCTGAGAAAAGAGAGCAAAGCTAGAGGCATCACACTCCCTGATCTCAAAATATGCTACGATCTATAGTAACCAAAACAGCATGGTACTGGAATGAAACAGACACACAGATGAATGGAACAGAATTGAGAACCCAGAAATAAACTCACACATCTACAGACAGCTAATTTTTGACAAGGGGGCTGAGAACATACAATGGAGAAAGGAAAGTCTCTTCAATAAATGGTGCTGGGAAAACTGGACAGCCACATGCAAAACAAGAAAAGTAGACCATTATCTTACACCATACACAAAGATTAACTTGAAAGGGATTAAAGACTTGAATGGAAGACCTGAAACCACAAAACTTCTAGAAGAAAACACAGGCAGTATGCTCTTCAAATTCGGGCTTAGCATTATCTTTTTGAATTCAGGTCTTACCAGGGAAGGGAAACAAAAGAAAAAATTTAAAAGTGGGACTACATCAAACTAAAAAGCTTCTCCAAGGAAAAACAAAAAGACAACCTAACATTTGGGAGAAGATATTTGCAAATCATATTTCCAATAAGGGGTTAATTTCCAAAATATTTAAAGAACTCATACAACTCAACAACACAAAAACAAACAGCCCAATTAAAAAATGGGCAAAAGATCTGAACAAACATTTTTCCAAAGAAAGATATACAGATGGCTAACAGGCACATGAAAAGATGCTCAACATCACTAATTATTAGGGAAATGCAAATCAAAACTACAATGAGATGTCACCTCATGCCTGTCAGAATGGCTATAATTAACAAGATAACAAATAAGTGCTGGAGAGGTTATGGAGAAAAGGAAATTCTTATATACTACTGGTGGGAATGTAAACTGGTGCAGCCACTATGGAAAACAGTAAGGAGATTCTTCAAAAAATAAGACTAAATTACCATATGCTCCAGCAATTCCACTTCCGTGTATCTATCCAAGGAACACAAAAACACTAATTTGAATAGATATATGTACCCTATGTTCACTGCAGCATTATGCACAATAGCTAAGACTTGGGAACAATGGATAAAGGAGGTGTGGTGTATATATGTACAAAGGAATACTACTCAGCCATAAGAAAGATGAAATCTTGCCATTTGCAACAACATGGACGGACCTTGAGGGTATTATGCTAAGTGAAGTAAGTCAGATGGAGAAAGTCAAATACCATATGATTTCACTCATAAGTGGAAGATAAAAACAACAAGAACAACAAACAAAAACATAGACATAGAGATTAGATTGGTGGTTACCAGGGGGGAATACGGGAGGAAAGAGGACATAAGGAGTAATAGGCACTGTGGTGACGCACAGTAATTAGTCTTTGGGTGGTGAGCATGATGTAATCTACATAGAAATTGAAATATAATTATGTAAACCTGAAATTTATATAATGTTATAAACCAATGTTATCTCAATAAAAAAAATTTTTAATCAATAAGAATTCCTTTGGCTACAAAACACACCACCAATATGGAGAAATACTATCATATGCTCCTCTAATAACCAATCAAGTCAGGCAGTTTATTTGACCCTATCTGCTTCTAGTGGGCAGTGGGAGCTATAGGTGTGCTCTGAGTGAGTATGACATAGACTACTAATGTTACCCAAATATATGTTTTCCCCTTATTTATTACTAATAGAGCTCCAATTTTTTTAGTTGCCCATGTGGATATGTTGGTTAGAGATTTTATTTTCCAACCTCTGTTGTGACTGGGAGTGGTCTTATAACTAAATTATGGCCAGTGAGATATGAGCACAGTGCAATGGAATACTTCACAGAAGTAGTCTTTAACAAAAGAAGGCACAGCCTTCCCTTTCTCCTTTTTGCTGGTCTGAATGGAGATGTAATGGCTGGATATTAGGCATCTATCTTGGACTATGAGGTAAAGGCCATGTCCTGAAGATAGTAAAGCAAGAAGATGGAACAAAGACTGGGTCCCAGATATCATGGAGCACATTTCAGCTACTGGCCTTCGTTTATGAGAGAAAAATAAAATTCAATTTTGTGTAAGCCATTGTTGTTATGGGTTTTTCTACAATTTCAGGCTGAAATTATATAGAATATACTTATATACAGAAATTATGTATAGAACATAACTCTAGCTGATATAGTAAGCTTCTTTAATAAACTGATATTTAAGGTAAGAACCAAAGAATGAACAGAGAAAATTGTAGGCTTACATGCATATCTTAGAAATCAAAGTTTTTTGAGGAAAAAAGCAAACAACTCAATATCCAAGAAAAATAATTTAAAAAAAATAAGTAAAATAAAAGGAATGGATTATAAATATAAAAATATAAATTAATTAAATAGAATAAAAACCACAGAAGATTTGAACAATTAAACATAAATCTATGTCTTTGAAAATATCAGGGTATTTTGAGTTAAATTGGTGGACTGGACACACAACTTTAATTTGGCTCGCTCTAAAAATGCACTAACACAGAAGTGAAAAGATTATTTTCAAAAACATAACCTACAAGGATGGAGAGAATAAAGTAGAAGACAACCAAGAAAAATCCTAATCGCTGGAAAGCAGATGGATGTCTTAGTAGACCTGACAAACCAACTACCAATCCTCAAGTGGGAAAAGCTGAGAACCAATCCTGCTTAGACAGCAGGATTTTCAGAAGCATCAGGAATGTCAGCCCTAGATACTCTAAAATGATGATAGGGTGCCAACTAAGGAGGATTGTGTTAAAATTTCCGGAGAAGCAGTTAAATCTCTAGTAGTCAGATCACTTTTCCCCCTCTAGTCACTGAGTAACCCACTTCGCTGACCCTAGCAGAAGTGTGGAGTTTTGTTTTCTGATGACTGAAAAAGGAAGAGTCATTCTAGGAGAGGTTCTACTGGCAAAATTGAGGGCGGGGTAATATGAGTAGTGGAAATAAGTGATCATCTAAATATTGAATGCTGATTGTTAAAATACTATGATAGTCACTGGGAGCAATTACAAATATTTCAGTTCTCTTCATCTCAGACATATGGCAGAATTTCAATTCTATTTCCTCTCTAAATTATGTGCGGCTATGTAATTTCCTTTGGCCAATAAAATGTGAGAAGAAGTGATATATATTACCTCTCAGCTGAAGCTTTGGGAGACAGAGCATAGTTTAACACATTAATTTCCCTACTGTGGTGATCATGAAAGCATATGTGGAGATGGAATCTCCAGAAGCCTGGGTCCCTGACTGACAACTGAGGAAGGGATCATGCTGAACTGTACAGGATATGTAGTGCAGAAAGAAATCAGCCTTCATTGTGTTAAGCCATTGAGATCTGGAGTTGTCTGGTAGTGAAGCCTAACCTAGCCTATCCTGAATGACGCAGACCTCCACTCCTCTTCCACCATTCAGTCCTTTACCTTTTCAATCCACACCTTTTCTTCTGGGTAGGAGATTTTAAAGAGTTGGGGAATCTGACCAGCCCAAGTGGAAAAAGACCTAATCACACTGATGCTGATATTTCCCCAACCAAAACTGCTCCCAGTTCACCTTAGGGTAAGGACCAAACTGGACAAGCCCTGTCAACATGCTCAGAGCTATCACTCAGCTCGTTAGTCTCCCAAACTAAGAACAGACACCTGACTGAGACATCTGGAGAAAGTTTCTAAAAAGAAATACAGAAATAAAAACAAGGCAAAGGGAAAAAAAGTAAACTGGAGACAATCAAAAGTTTGCAGAAAGAAGAAAACTTGAATAAACAACCTATTATTAATATCATCAGATGAGAAAAGAAGTTATTGCATCTAAGAAATAAGCACAAAAAGAGGGCTCTTGGAAAGCATGAACATAATAAAGAAACAAAAATCTCAATAGAAGGGCTTGATGATAAAGTTAAGAAAATATCCCAGGAAATACTGCAAAAATATTTTTAAATGGGAAACAGGAGAGAAAAAAATAAGGAAATTAGAGACCATACCAGAGGTCTAACATCTGAATTGCAGGAATTCAAAAAAAAACAAAAAACAAAAAACAAAGAGAGAGCAGGAAAAAAATTTATCAATGAATTGAAGAAAATTTCTAAGAGCTGGAGGAAATTAGTTTCCTAATTGAAAGGGCTTACCAACTGTCCTATACAATGGATGAAAATAAGCTCAAATCAAGACACATCACTGTTTAATTTTAAAAGTCTTGGGACAATGACAAAATACTACAACAAGAAATAAAAATATAGATCACATACAGAAGATGTAAAATAAGATTAGCTTTATACTTCTTAACAAGCACACTGGTTTAGGGAGCTCATTGACAAAATATTCCAACATTCTGAAGAAAAATTATTTCCAACCTAAAACTCTATAATCAGTCAAATTTCCAATCAAGTCTGAGGGCAGAATAAAGATAATTTAATACACTCAAGGTCACGACAAAATTTAACTCTCATACACTCTTCTCTGGAAACTACTGGAAGATATCTATCAAAATGAGAGAGTAATCTAAGAAAGAGGAAGTCAGAAGAAACAGAAAAGAGAAAATCCAAAACAGAACAGAAGTGAAATGAATCTCCAGATGATGTTGAAGGATGATCTGAGGGTGACAACTGGGATCTGAGTGTCTGAGTATAGTGAACAACTAGTCCAGGTTGGAGCTGGATGACTCAAGAGACAAGCATTTTGAAGGATATCATCAGCAAGTCCCCTGACATCTTTTCAATCAGATGAAAACTATTGGAGGATGTGATCTATTATAGCCACAGCATAAACCAAAAAGAGGAAGAAATAAAATCCTAGAAATAGGAAATCCAACCAGAATAAAGGCAAAGAGAATTCCAAGAAGGATAGGAAATCAAAGTAGCAGGATGAAAGCTGTGCAGCAGATGTAGAGAGCAACCACCCAATTTAAAGGAAAATTGATAGCTCAGGAGATATGGGAATGACCATGGGGAAAACCGTACCGAGAAGAAATTGGAAGTGTGGGAAGAACAAATGACAGATATAAAGAAAACCAAGTAAATGAAAAAGCAAGGCAATTATTAACTGCAAGGAAAAAAGAAAGAAAATATAATTAGTACACAACAATGCTCCTAATGACACAGCAAGTGAAAGAAGGCATGAAGGGACCTTGGAAGAGTACAAGAGCTAAAACCTAATCCAACATAATAGGAGTCAACTGATAATGTCTAAAATTAATTAATCAGAATACAGATTAATGTCAAAAGAGATAACTAAAAGAGTTTAAAATGGCTGCTTCTTGAGAAGGGAGCTAGAAAAGTGAGGAGGGAAAGGGCAGAAAACTTGTATTTTATTTTGTGTTTGATTTTGAACCAAGGTCATATATTATTTTGAAAAAAATGCATTTTAAAAGATCAGTGAGATAGAAACCTTGTAAGTCTCCCTAAGAATAAAAAGGTGATAAAATACTAAACATTACTCATAAGACTAGGGATGTAATTAAAGATAAATACAAAGAACACATAATACCAAGAAATTTACAAATCCAGATAATGAATGGTTTTTAAAATAAAGTACAAATTACTTTAAAAGGAAACAAAATCTGGACAGATTAATAACCAAAAGTAAAGTGGAAAAGACAGCTATAGATTTACCACCAGCAAAGTCACCAAACCCGACCCATTTAAATGGCAAGTTGTAATTAAGCATGTAGAAACATGATGATATAATTATAAAAACTATTCTGTTGCATAAAAATGGATGGAACGCTTCCTAACCCATTTTATGAGGCCAGAATAGTTTAATACTAAAACCATAGAAATTAAATACACACACGCACACACACACACACAGAGCAACATGGGCCAGAAAAATCCTAAGACAACGTTGGCACATCAAATCCATCTGTGCATTAAAACAATAATACATCATGGTTAAATGTCCTTTATATCAAGAACTTGAGAATTAAGAAGCTAAAGAATAAAACTACAATTTTAACAGATATCAAAAATTACTCTTAAAATACGAAATAAAGAAGAAAACCTTCTTGATCCAAAAAAGGAGCATTTACCCCAAATTGAGATCAACCTTCATAGTTAAAGACGAATGCACTTCCACAAAGGCAAGAATGACCTACTTGCTACTATTAATTTTAAGAGTATTCATTGCATATTCTTGGAGATACTAGCCATTGAAATTATATGTGAATACTAATTTATATATAATACTTCAGGTGACGGGTGGAGTTTGGGAGGGCAGAAAGTGTTCCAGAAAATATCACGGGTAAAGAGTGAAAACTGTGAAACTGGAAGAATTACTAATTAATTCACAAGACACTGAAAAAAAGTCCAGTTACTCTGCAGTATGAACAGCATTATCGTTAAGCGGTTTACAAATCAATAAAAGGTCACCAACCAATATTTGTTGATTGTTTGACGGAGATTCCATTTTCTTATATATTCTTTACTATCAATTTTAAAAGCAGGAGAAGGGTGTCTGAGAATTTACTCCTGGTGGGGAGCCAGAGCTTAATCTCATGCCCCTAGATTAAGGAAAACAGATATATTTTTCTACGAATTTAGACTAACAGAGGGGAAAACGATGTAAGCACTTACTTACTAGTATTACCGTGACCATTTGAGGAAAAAGATGAAATAAAACAGCAAATACCTTTGGGGGAAAAAAATCTCTCCTGTCGCAGTTGCTTTAATCCGCCATCTTTTTATTCTATTCTTGAAAACGGGAATAACATCCACAAAACGCAAGGTGGCGCTGCTGGCTAAAAAGAAAAAAATATTCGCACAAAGGAGGTTGCAGATTCCAGTATTAAGAGGAAAGCTGGCCAGACAAGAAAAGTAAAAGAAAGGAAACGGTGGGAAAAGGAGTTTGGGAAAAGTGGGGACCTCTCCCCACAAGCATTGCTATTATCCAGCTCATTTCTAAGGATTAGGTCGCTGTCATTTCTGAGAGCTGCTTGAGGCCAAGCGAAAGTGTTTTTGAAAGACCGATTAAACGAAGAATGGAGGCCAGAATGGAGCCTGCGGTGCAGAAAAGGCAAGTTCTCTTTCTCTGTATATTTCTGGGAGTGTCTTGGGCTGGCGCGGAACCGCTTCGGTATTTTGTGACGGAGGAAACCGAGAGAGGCACCTTTCTGGCCAACCTAGCAAATGACCTGGGGTTGGGGGTGGGGGAGCTCTCAGCCCGGGGATCTAGAATCGTTTCAGATGAGAACATACGATTTTTACTACTCAATCCGCTTACGGGTGATTTACTTCTAAATGAGAAGTTAGACCGAGAGGAACTGTGCGGCCCCACAGAGCCCTGTGTGCTGCCTTTCCAGTTGTTACTGGAAAAGCCTTTTCAGATTTTCCGTGCTGAACTGTGGGTCAGAGACATCAACGATCATTCTCCAGGATTTCTAGATAGAGAGATTCTCTTGGAAATACTAGAAAGTACCACTCCAGGGGCGGCCTTTCTCCTAGAAAGTGCACAGGATTCAGATGTTGGGATCAACAACCTGAGAAACTACACCATCAGCCCCAATGCCTATTTCCATATTAACGTCCATGATGGTGGGGAGGGGAATATCTATCCCGAATTGGTACTGGATCGAGTGCTGGATCGCGAAGAGGTGCCTGAGCTCAGCTTAACCCTCACGGCCTTGGATGGCGGCTCTCCGCCCAGATCCGGGACCGCCCTCGTACGAATCCTGGTTTTGGACATAAACGACAACGTCCCTGAATTTGTACAGTCGCTCTACAAGGTGCAGGTGCCCGAGAACAGCCCTGTTGGCTCCCTGGTTGTCGCCGTGTCAGCTAGAGATTTAGATACCGGAAGTAATGGGGAAATAAATTATGCATTTTTTTATGCCACTGAAAGAATTCTCAAAACATTTGAAATCAATTCAACATCTGGCGGTCTTCATCTTAAAGCCGAACTGAACTATGAGGCGATGCAAACTTATACATTAACTATTCAGGCCAAAGATGGCGGAGGGCTTTCGGGAAAGTGTACTGTGGTGGTTCACGTAACAGATATAAATGATAATCCACCGGAACTGATCATGTCATCGCTTACTAGCCCAATTGCAGAAAATTCACCCGAGACAGTCGTAGCTGTTTTTAGGATTAGAGACAGAGATTCAGGGAACAATGCAAAGATGGTGTGCTCCATCCAAGATGATCTCCCCTTTGTCCTGAAGCCATCTGTAGAGAATTTCTACACCCTGGTAACAGAGAGCCCGCTGGACAGAGAAAGCCAGGCCGAGTACAACATCACCATCACGGTCACTGACATGGGATCCCCCAGGCTGAAAACCCAGCACAACATAACCGTGCTGGTCTCCGACGTCAACGACAACGCCCCGGCCTTCACCCAAACCTCCTACACCCTCTGGGTCCGCGAGAACAACAGCCCCGCCCTGCACATCGGCAGCGTCAGCGCCACGGACAGAGACGCAGGCGCCAACGCCCAGCTCACCTACTCGCTGCTGCCGCCCCAAGACCCGCACCTGCCCCTGGCCTCCCTCGTGTCCATCAACGCCGACAACGGCCACCTGTTCGCCCTCAGGTCGCTGGACTACGAGGCCCTGCAGGCCTTCGAGTTCGGCGTGGGCGCCACGGACCGCGGCTCGCCGGCGCTGAGCAGCCAGGCGCGGGTGCGCGTGCTGGTGCTGGACGCCAACGACAACTCGCCCTTCGTGCTGTACCCGCTGCAGAACGGCTCTGCGCCCTGCACCGAGCTGGTGCCCAGGGCGGCCGAGGCGGGCTACCTGGTGACCAAGGTGGTGGCGGTGGACGGCGACTCGGGCCAGAACGCCTGGCTGTCGTACCGGCTGCTCAAGGCCACGGAGCCCGGGCTGTTCGGCGTGTGGCCGCACAACGGCGAGGTGCGCACGGCCAGGCTGCTGAGCGAGCGCGACGCGCCCAAGCACAGGCTGCTGGTGCAGGTCAGGGACAATGGCGAGCCGCCGCGCTCGGCCAGCGTCACGCTGCACGTGCTGCTGGTGGACGGCTTCTCCCAGCCCTACCTGCCGCTGCCCGAGGCGGCGGCCGAGCAGGCGCGGGCCGACCCGCTCACCGTCTACCTGGTCGTCGCGCTGGCGTCGGTGTCGTCGCTCTTCCTCCTGTCGGTGCTGCTGTTCGTCGCGGTGCGGCTGTGCAGGAGGAGCAGGGCCGCGTCGCTGGGTCGCTGCTCGGTGCCCGAGGGCCCCTTTCCGGGCCACCTGGTGGACGTGAGCGGCACCGGGACCCTGTCCCAGAGCTACCAGTATGAGGTGTGTCTGAGGGCAGGTTCAGGGACCAGCGAGTTCAAGTTCCTGAAGCCCATCATCCCTAGTCTGCAGTCACAGAACACAGGGAGGGAAGTGGAAGAAAATCCTTCATTTGGGAATGATTTGGGTTTCTGATAAAGAATGAAAAATAAATGCCTATATTGTGTCTGAATATATTCCTAGTAAGAAATTTATCCTGAGTTAACCTGTAGAGGAGTGCTTCCACATTATTTCAAGTATTCTTAAAGTCACAGAATAAATTTCTTTACACCGAAAAGGATCCAGCTTTAGCCCTAATAACCCTCCACAAAGCATGGAATGTATATATGTCATATTTTAATCTCAGTTATACATTTTGTGCAGTCTATTACATGGTAAATCTTGTTTAAGATATTTTAAATTGGTTTTCATTGTCTTAAAATTTTATTGCTACTTTTCTGAGTTGATTAGAGTGCTGTACAAGTATACCGACCCTAAGTTTTAGGGGCACAGATTGTGGAGTATCTTTTAAAGCCTTTTAAAAAGCACTTACTATGCATCATACATTATTCTGACTTTTAATCTTGGAAGTAAACCTATAGGGGAGGTATTTTAGAAATGAGGAAGTAGATGTTTATAGAGGTTCAGTGACCTCACTAAGGTCACCAACGAATAAATGGCAGAGCTGAGCATCTCTCTTAGAGCTGTCTGATTCTGGGACCTTGCTATGATGCTATACTGTTTCTTTTTGTTTGTCATTGGATATCTCCTGACAAGTTTCTCCCTAATTAGGGAGAAGAAATCTTTTTTCATATTCATATTCTTGTTCAGTCTTTTCTGTATTTGAAAATAATGTATGTATTGGTCTGTGCTTTTACTTTCTTACAAACCAATAATCTAGCTTTTCTGGATCAGTTAACTTTTTTTTTAAAGATCGTCACTTGAGCGATCATCTGTTGCCAACCTTTTTTTCTTCTTCTTCTCCCCAAAGCCCGCCCCCACCCCCCATATAGTTGTATATTCTAGTTTGTGAGTGCCTCTGGTTGTGCTATGTGGAACGCTGCCTCAGCGTGGCCTGATGAGCAATGCCGTGTCGGCGCCTGGGATCCCAACCAGGGAAACCCTGGGCCCCGGAAACAGAGCGCGCGAAATTAACCACTCGGCCAGGGCCGGCCCCTCAGCTATTATTATTAAAGCTCTGATCTAACCAAATCTCAAGTAAAAAAAAATTGAAAGATCAATCTGTGCTTTCTCCTTGTTATCTAAATATATGACCTTTATTTCACAGAAAAGATTAATGGCCCTGAGTAGAAATATTACATAATTTTGATTGCTTCGTTAGTTTATTATTTTTTCACACTACAGTTTTTCTGCAGTAGTCCCTACCTACTTTTTAACACGTTTTTCTCCTTTAATTTGAAGCTTTTTAAAAGTGTCTATCAATATACTGCAGTGCTGAATTGAGAAAGTATAAGAAAAAGAATCGTTTTAAACATGTAATATAAAGAGAAACAAATTATAGTTAAATTACTTAGAGATTCTGGGGAGTTAAGGAGAAGCTTTGTTTCTTAAAATAATCTGGAACTGCTTTTTCTTTAACAATTACCCAGATAATTTTTATAGCTGTATTCTGAATATAAGCTAGTGACGGTAACTCTTAAAATAGTATTATTACTGTGCATTACTAATGGAATATAGTCTAAAGACAAAAAAAAATTCACAGCAGTAAAATCTTGTTGTTCTCATAGTGTCAAGGTAAAATCATCCAGTTTTTCCAACAAATCAATGAGATGGAAAAGCAGAGGAAGGAATTTTATACAATGAAAGAAATGAAGAGACATACCAACCAAATATAATGTGTGGTGGATCTTGATTCAAACAACCATAACAACTTTGAGAGAATTGGAGAAATCTGAATGTAGATGGACATTAAATAATATTAACCTAATTTCTTAGATGTGGTAATGGCATTGTAGGGGTTTTTTTTTAAGTCATTAAAGTTAGAGATGTATAATGAAGTATTTATGGGTGAAATTTGGGAAGTGAAAATGTTGGGGAGATAAACAGTTATGGCAAAATATTGATAATTGTTGAAGCTAGTTATGAGTAGCGAGGTGTTCTTTATACTATTCTCTTTCTTTGTGGGGTTTGACATTTTTAAGAATAAAAGGTTTTTTAAAATTTGTGCTGTAAGAAGAGAAGTGGAATTAACAAAAATAGGACATCCTTCTGAGATACTGAATCACCACTCCTGTCACAGGTTATACCTCTATCAGACAAACTCTCCAGCCTGTCCTGTTTCATCACCTGACAGGATAACTTCTATCTGAGATAATCCTGCTCATGCATTCTTCTACCACCTGAATCTTGGGTGTTTTTCTAGTCATGGCAATGGACTCATGGAAACTCAGCTACCTGATGACATCAAATTACATGCCTGGTTTGTGTGTGTGTGTTTATAAGGTTAATCTCTTTTTGCCTCAATTTCCTCATCTGTAAGCTGGGAAACTTACAGCAGTCCTATGTGGCGCATACTATCATTATCTCCACTTTACAGATGAGGAAACTGAGGCAAAGTTTAAATAATTTGTCCAAGGTTCATAGCTACTAATTATTCCCGTAGTTCATGGCAATAAAAGTATATAATTCTGAAAGTTTTCTATGTTAGTCCAATCATATATTTTTAAAATTTCCTGCATATATTCTTTCTTCTCAGCCAGGCTTTTACATATTTTCTTTTTGCTCCAAACTCAGCATTATTGAAAGTAGAAAGTCCCTATTAATGTCATTTCTCTTGTGTGACCCTCAGACAATTGTCTGCGTCATAAGGTCCGGCGATAGTAAAAGTCTTGTAACGTTGCATAGCTTGGTGGTACATATAGAAAAGGGGGATATTGCATCCATTTTCATCCCAGAAAATGTAATATCCTGTGAGGACGCGTGGTGGCGCTGCAGGATAAGAAGGTATACCCGGAACCGCAGCTGCGGCTCCGTTGACACGCAAAATTTACCAGCAGAGCCTGGAAGCCCACGGGGAGGGTGGATGCTACAGAAGAACTGAGTCCTCTGAAAAGGGCTATTCATCGGAATACTTCTGAGGTATCTTGCGGATTGACCACAGTCTCCGATACTGAGGTCTTTACAGCTCTGCGGAACCACCCTCGCCGGAGGCTGTACCAAGCAAGAACAATGGAGGCCAGCAGGAAGCTCATTTGCAGACAAAGGCAAGTCCTTTTCTTCTTTCTCTTCTTGGGCTTATCTCTGGCGGGCACTGAACCTAGGCGCTATTCTGTGGTGGAGGAAACGGAAGGGAATTCTTTTGTAACCAATTTAGCAAAGGACCTGGATCTGGGGCAAAGGGAACTCTCCAGGCGGGGACCTAGGGTGATTTCCAAAAGGAACAAACTGCATTTGCAGCTCGATCAGGAGACCGGGGATTTGTTGCTAAATGACAAACTGGACCGCGAGGAACTGTGCGGTCACACGGAGCCCTGTGTGCTGCGTTTCCAGGTGTTGCTAGAGAATCCCTTAGAGTTTTTTCAAGCTGAGCTACAAGTAATAGACATAAATGACCATGCTCCGGTGTTCGTGGACAGAGATATGTTGCTAAAGATATCAGAGAGCAGTCCTCCTGGGACTACGTTTCCTCTGAAGAATGCTCAGGATGTGGACGTAGGCCGAAATAATATTGAGAACTATATAATCAGTCCCAACTCCTATTTTCGGGTCCTCACCCGCAAACGCAGCGATGGTAGGAAATATCCTGAGCTGGTGCTGGACAAAGCGCTGGATCGCGAGGAGGAACCTGAGCTCAGGTTAACCCTCACCGCTCAGGATGGTGGCTCTCCACCCCGGTCTGGCACCGCTCAGGTGTACATCGAAGTCGTGGACATAAACGATAACGCCCCTGAATTTGAGCAGCCTTTCTATAGGGTGCAGATCCCTGAGGATAGTCCCATAGGTTTCCTGATTGTCACAGTCTCTGCTACGGATGCAGACATAGGAGCCAACGGAGAGATTTCTTATTCACTTTTCCAGGCTCCAGAAGAGATTAGCAAAACCTTTGAGATCAACCCCAAGACAGGGGAAATTCGACTGAAAAAACAACTTGATTTCGAAACTGTTCAGTCCTATGAGGTCAATATCGAGGCCAGAGATGCTGGAAGCTTTTCTGGAAAATGCACCGTTCTTACTCAGGTCATGGATGTGAACGACAATGCCCCAGAAGTCACTATGTCTGCATTTACCGCACAGATCCCCGAGAACTCCCCTGAGAGTGTAGTTGCAGTTTTTAGTGTTTCAGATCTTGATTCGGAAGAAAACGGGAAAATAAGTTGCTCCATTAAGGACGATCTACCCTTTTTCCTGAAATCGTCCCTGGAAAACTTTTACACCCTAGTAACAGAGAAACCGCTGGACAGAGAGGACAAAGACGAATACAATGTCACCATCACAGTCACTGATTTGGGGACACCCAGGCTGAAAACAGAGCTCAACATAACCGTGCTGGTCTCCGACGTCAACGACAACGCCCCGGCCTTCACCCAAACCTCCTACACCCTCTGGGTCCGCGAGAACAACAGCCCCGCCCTGCACATCGGCAGCGTCAGCGCCACAGACACAGACGCAGGCGCCAACGCCCAGCTCACCTACTCGCTGCTGCCGCCCCAAGACCCTCACCTGCCCCTGGCCTCCCTCGTGTCCATCAACGCCGACAACGGCCACCTGTTCGCCCTCAGGTCCCTAGACTACGAGGCCCTGCAGGCCTTCGAGTTCGGCGTGGGCGCCACGGACCGCGGCTCGCCGGCGCTGAGCAGCCAGGCGCGGGTGCGCGTGCTGGTGCTGGACGCCAACGACAACTCGCCCTTCGTGCTGTACCCGCTGCAGAACGGCTCTGCGCCCTGCACCGAGCTGGTGCCCCGGGCGGCCGAGGCGGGCTACCTGGTGACCAAGGTGGTGGCGGTAGACGGCGACTCGGGCCAGAACGCCTGGCTGTCGTACCAGCTGCTCAAGGACACCGGAGGCCCGGGCCTGTTCGGCGTGTGGCCGCACAACGGCGAGGTGCGCACGGCCAGGCTGCTGAGCGAGCGCGACGCGCCCAAGCACAGGCTGCTGGTGCAGGTCAGGGACAATGGCGAGCCGCCGCGCTCGGCCAGCGTCACGCTGCACGTGCTGCTGGTGGACGGCTTCTCCCAGCCCTACCTGCCGCTGCCCGAGGCGGCGGCCGAGCAGGCGCGGGCCGACCCGCTCACCGTCTACCTGGTCGTCGCGCTGGCGTCGGTGTCGTCGCTCTTCCTCCTGTCGGTGCTGCTGTTCGTCGCGGTGCGGCTGTGCAGGAGGAGCAGGGCCGCGTCGCTGGGTCGCTGCTCGGTGCCTGAGCGCCCCTTTCCGGGCCACCTGGTGGACGTGAGCGGCACCGGGACCCTGTCCCAGAGCTACCAGTATGAGGTGTGTCTGAGGGCAGGTTCAGGGACCAGCGAGTTCAAGTTTCTGAAGCCAGTTGTGCCCAATTTCCAGGGCCATTCCCCTAGACCGGAAATAGAAGAAACCTCCAACTTTAAGAATGACTTTGGTTTCAGTATTCAGTGACAATAATTGTTTTTTCAAATATTTAGAATTGGTAAGTTTAAGGTGATAGTTTTTCTGGCAACCTATTATAAATTTTTTAATTACACTAAACTTGCTTGCAAAATATCTTATATTATCTCTTTGTTTTAAAGAATAGGATCTTTTTTCTTCATTACCATTTCAAGGTGAATGGTCCTAAATCTTGTCTCTCAAAACATGATGAAGTCAATAGTTGTATGAATCCTTGTTCTGGAATAACTTAAGAATGTATTAGGGGGAAAAAAAACCAGTGGGAAATTCGTTCTATATAATCGATGGCATTTTCTTGAATTTTTCTTATTCGTTTTTAAACTATTAGGTGTATAAGGCAGTCATGCACTAACAGACTTACACTGAAGTGTCCCTGGTGGGGAAGGAAAGAGAACTGGTACAGTGAGAATTTGGCTCTAGCTTTATTCTGCCCTCGTAGAATCTTTAATATTGTTTTCTCTTAATGTTGTACTAATTGTGCTTCCTTTCATTAATATACCAGTGTTAGTTTTAATATAATTATTTTAACTGCTTCCCACTTAGTTTCATTGATGTTAAAAGGGGGAAAATGTATTGCCTTGTAGTTCTGTAGGTCAGATTTCCCATACGGGTCTTACTGGGCTAAAATCAAGGTGTCCGCAGGAGTGCATTCCTTTCTGGTGGCTCTAGAGGAGAATCCATTTCTTCATTTTTTCCAGCTTCTGGATGTTGCATACATGACTTGTCTCATGGCCTCCTTCATCCATCTTCAAAGCCAGCAGCATTGCAGTGTATTTCTTTGACCATTCTCCTGTAGTCACATCTTCCTCTGACCATAGTCAGGAAAGGTTCTGTCCCACCCAGGTAACCCAGGATAATCTTCCTTTCGTGAGGTCCTCAATTTAATTATATTTATGAATTCTCTTTTGCCACATATTTACAGATTTGGGGAATTAGGGCCTGTACGTCTTTGGGTGGGTGGCCATTATTCTGCCTGCCACTTGGAATAATGGCTGCTTGGAAGAAAATTATCTGGTCTAGTAGTACCACTTGTGGCCAACGGAAGGCACATAAAGGTCTTTATACCAGGAATTTAGGCCTCATTGATTAGATGCTTTGACCTCAGACAAGGTAATTAACAAACTTCTTAAAATCTTTAACAAAAATACTGAACTGATAAAGATATCATGAATCTTTACTGCAATTCACTTCAAATTACAGAAATGGAAAACCTGAACAAAAGAATACAAATCTGATAAGGGACTTATCAGAATATATAAAGAACTCTTACAACTCAACTACAAAAAGATAAATAACCCAATTTAAAAATGAGTGAAGATCTAAATAGACATTTCTCCAAGGAAGATATACAAATGGACAATAAGCACATCAGAAGATGTTCAGCATCGTTAGTCATCAGAGAAATGCAAGTTAAAATTAATGAGATACCACTTCACACCCACTAGAATGGCTAGAATCAAAAAATCAGAAAAGTATTGGGAAGATGTGGAAAACTCGGAATGCTGATAAACTGCTAGTGGGAATGTAAAATGGTGCAGCTGCTTTGGAAAACAGTCTCGCAGTTCCTCAGTTAAACAGAGAGATACCGTATGACTCAGCAGTTCCACTCCCAGAGAAATGAAAACATACATCCACACAAACACTTGTACATGAGTATTTATGCAGCATTATTCATAATAGCCAAAAGGTGGAAACAACCCAAACGTCCATCAACAGAAGAACGGATAATCAAAATGTAATATATCTATACAGTGGAATATTATTTGGCCATAAAAAGGAATGAAATATTGATATGTTACAACTTGGATGAACCTTGAAAACATGCTAAGTGAAAGAAGCCAGTCCCAAAAGTCCACATATTGTACTATTCCCTCAGTACAAGAGTCCAGAATAGGAAAGTCTATAGAGACAGAAAATAAATTAGTGGTTGATTAGGACTTGGGGGCACAAGGGATGAGGGAATAGGAGGGTGATGGCTCAAGGGTACAAGGTTTATGAAGTGATGAAAATGTCCTAAAATTGACTGTGGTGGTGGGTGAACTGCTCTGTGAATATGCTGAAAGCCGCTGAACTATACACTTTAAATGGATGAATTGCATGGTATGTGAGTTATATCTCATTAAAGCTGTTTTTAAAAAAGAATAAAACAGAAATTGTGTCATGATAATAATAATTATAAAAGGAATCCAAAAGTATGGCAGGCCTACCCTTGAGATCTGCCTGTTTGGGAAATAATTTTCAAATAATTGAAAACTCCAAAACCTAAGTTGTCAGCCTTAGGTATTGGAAAGAAAAGGAAATGATCCACTCGTTAACAAGGCATTGGTTATACACTCTTTAGAACCACCACTGATTGTAATTTTGCAGTGTCCTCTCATTTGTAATTCTGTAATATCTACCATGAAAAGATGTACTTGTGAAACGGTTCCCATGTTACTTGGAAAACATTTTGCTTCTAAATGTATATTCTTTTTGGCTTACATGTTAATTAAATTATCTTATTTAATCACTAGTCCTCAACAGCTTTAAACAGTCAATAATATAAATGACAGTGTGCTATTTATACTCTTCATGTGCAACAACACAGAGCTTTATCCGAACACACAAATACCACACAAAAATAGAGCTCAGTATTTTATATTACAGAACACAATTTATACAACCTATTTGGTACATTTAGGAGGATTTTGTATTCAACGTTAAGCCAGAAAATATAAGATGCAGTGAGGACACGTGGTGGCGCTGCAGGTTAAATGATGGAAAACAGAATTGCCTACGCAGCTCCAGTATCCAGCCAAACAGTTTCACACTGCCTGGAAGCTAAAGAATAGCTTTCACAGCCGGAGAAAAAGTGAGTGTGAAACTTCTTTAAAATTCTATTTAGCGGCATAGTTCTGACATTCTGGGTTGCAGGACTGGGCTACTGGGATCCTGGACATACGTGAAGCTCCTGTGAACCCAGTTTTCAGGAAAGAGCAATGGAGATTGGATGGACCTGCAATCGGAGACAAAGGCAAGTCCTAGTTTTCTTTGTTTTGCTGAGCATGTCTAGGGCGCGCGCCGAGTTGGGGCCCTATTCAGTAGTGGAAGAAACGGAGAGAGGCTCCTTTGTGGCAAATCTAGGAAAAGACCTGGGGTTGGGGTTGACAGAGATGTCCACTCGGGGGGCCCGGATCATTTCCCAGGGAAACAAAGAGCATTTGCAGCTCAAGGTACAGACTGGGGATTTGCTCATAAATGAGAAACTAGATCGAGAGGAGCTATGTGGTCCCACTGAGCCTTGCGTACTACATTTCCAAGTGTTAATGGAAAAACCCTTAGAGATATTTCAGGCTGAACTGAGGGTGAAAGACATAAATGATCATTCTCCCATGTTCACTGAGAGAGAAATGATTCTAAAAATACCGGAAAACAGTCCTCTAGGAATTGCATTCCCTCTGAGTAATGCTCTGGACTTGGACGTAGGAAGCAACAATGTTGAGAACTATAAAATCAGCCCCAACTCCCATTTCCAAGTCCTAACCCGCAATCGCAGTGACGGCAGAAAATACCCTGAACTGGTGTTGGACAAAGAACTGGATCGGGAGGAGGAGCCTGAAATCTTATTAACCCTGACAGCGATGGATGGCGGCTCTCCGCCTCGATATGGGACCGCCCAGGTGCGCATTGAAGTGGTGGACAGCAATGATAATGCCCCAGAGTTTGGGCAGCCCTTCTACAGGGTGCATATTCCTGAGAACAGCCCTGTAGGCTCCCTGGTTGTCACCGTCTCTGCCAGCGATTTAGACAGTGGAGTCTACGGAAAAATATCATACACACTCTTTCAGCCTTCAGAAGATATTAGCAAAACTTTGGAGGTAAATTCTGTGACAGGAGAAATTCGACTGAGAAAACAAGTAGATTTTGAAACAGTTCAGTCTTATGAAGTGGATATCAAGGCCACTGATGGGGGAGGTCTTTCGGGAAAATGCACTCTTCTCCTGCAGGTGGTGGACATGAATGATAATCCCCCAGAAGTGACCATATCCGCACTCACCAGCCCCATCCCAGAGAACACGCCTGAGATTGTAGTTGCCGTTTTCAGTGTTTCAGATCCTGACTCCGGGGACAACGGGAAGACTATTTCCTCCATCCAGGATGACCTTCCTTTTCTTCTAAAACCTTCAGTCAAGAACTTTTACACCCTGGTAACAGAAGGATCGCTTGACAGAGAAAGCAGAGCTGAGTACAACATCACCATCACCGTCACGGACATGGGATCCCCCAGGCTGAAAACCCAGCACAGCATAACCGTGCTGGTCTCCGACGTCAACGACAACGCCCCGGCCTTCACCCAAACCTCCTACACCCTCTGGGTCCGCGAGAACAACAGCCCCGCCCTGCACATCGGCAGCGTCAGCGCCACAGACACAGACGCAGGCGCCAACGCCCAGCTCACCTACTCGCTGCTGCCGCCCCAAGACCCGCACCTGCCCCTGGCCTCCCTCGTGTCCATCAACGCCGACAACGGCCACCTGTTCGCCCTCAGGTCGCTGGACTACGAGGCCCTGCAGGCCTTCGAGTTCGGCGTGGGCGCCACGGACCGCGGCTCGCCGGCGCTGAGCAGCCAGGCGCGGGTGCGCGTGCTGGTGCTGGACGCCAACGACAACTCGCCCTTCGTGCTGTACCCGCTGCAGAACGGCTCTGCGCCCTGCACCGAGCTGGTGCCCCGGGCGGCCGAGGCGGGCTACCTGGTGACCAAGGTGGTGGCGGTGGACGGCGACTCGGGCCAGAACGCCTGGCTGTCGTACCGGCTGCTCAAGGCCACGGAGCCGGGGCTGTTCGGCGTGTGGCCGCACAACGGCGAGGTGCGCACGGCCAGGCTGCTGAGCGAGCGCGACGCGCCCAAGCACAGGCTGCTGGTGCAGGTCAGGGACAATGGCGAGCCGCCGCGCTCGGCCAGCGTCACGCTGCACGTGCTGCTGGTGGACGGCTTCTCCCAGCCCTACCTGCCGCTGCCCGAGGCGGCGGCCGAGCAGGCGCGGGCCGACCCGCTCACCGTCTACCTGGTCGTCGCGCTGGCGTCGGTGTCGTCGCTCTTCCTCCTGTCGGTGCTGCTGTTCGTCGCGGTGCGGCTGTGCAGGAGGAGCAGGGCCGCGTCGCTGGGTGGCTGCTCGGTGCCCGAGGGCCCCTTTCCGGGCCACCTGGTGGACGTGAGTGGCACCGGGACCCTGTCCCAGAGCTACCAGTATGAGGTGTGTCTGAGGGCAGGTTCAGGGACCAGCGAGTTCAAGTTTCTAAAACCAATTATCCCCAATCTCTCATCCCAGAGCAGAGGAAAGGAAGTGGAAGAAAATCCCTCGTTTAGGAATAGCTTTGGGATTTAATTATTGACAGGAACCTATATAATAAAGACATTTCCTTCTAATATTTTTTTGTTGACTAATTAATTTTTGGTCCACCACCACCCATAAGGTAATATTTAATTTTCTCTATTTGATTCATCCTCAGTTTCCAATTTTATGCTTAACTTCACAAGTTTCCTTTTCTTCCTATTTTAGCCCAAGAAAGTATTACTCACTGGAATCCCAATGAGTTAAATAGGCTTTATCTTCAAAGTTGATATACTTTAAGGTTTTTTTTCCTATTTATTAATGTCTTTATTGGCTTTGTATTTACATTTTTAATTTTAGTTCTTTGTTGTAGAACTTCAATTATTAAGATAATCTGCATGTTATCTGTATATTCACTATTTGATATTTCTTCCATTTTCCTTTAAAAACTGGTATTTTTGTTGTTTTATCAACCTTCATTTTTGTTATGGCAGTTTTCTTTATGCTATTTTTTTAAAAGTTCTCTTTCCCTGTAATGGTATCTGCTTGTTTAAAATATAATATCTCTGTTGTATGATATGATAAATAAACCTCTAATCAGCCTTATCTGAAAATAAGAAGAAACATTATTGTAAGATATGAGCGTATGTATATGAGTTAAAGTTTGGAGACAAGAAAAGCAAAGTTTAGACATTCTATAGTATCATGTAGAAATATTTAATAATTTGTTGCTTTTAATTCCATATGAAAAATCAGAAGTCTCTATTAAGTTTTTACTGGCTAACAACATAATCCCATTCAGTTGAAAAAGTGATAGAAGCCATCAAGCAGAGGTTTATATGGTATGGCTTTTATATTCAACAATTGAGTGTTTTGGCAGTATCTAGGCCTTTCCCTGTATAATATCTCTCAATTTAATCTGTATCCTTTCCTTATTATGGGGAAAATAGAGCTTCTTTCTAGATATTAGGACTTTGAAGAAAATTCTGGATGAGGCACATGTTACAATGCTGTTCTTACTCTCAGCAGTGTTAGGATAGGCGTTAGTGTGGTCTATTCTTTCTCTCCCTTTATTTGGTGCACAGAAATTAGATCCCATTAGAATTAATTAAGAGGGACCCTAAATAAAGGTCAGTCCCTTCTTTAATTCTGCAAGCAATTTTAAAGCTAATATAAGGAAAACAAAGACATGTGAAAGAAAGGGAACAAATTGCAAAGAACGAGTAAGTGAAAGAATACAATTTTCAAACGTTAAGGACTTAAGGGCACTGAACAGTTTTCATACTCTATTCACTAGAGTTTATTTATGCATACCTTAATAAGCAAGCGTTTAGTGAGTGAGTGATTTGCCAACCAAAGATAACTAAGACATAGTTTCAATCCTCAAGTAAGTCACATTGAAGAGGGGACAGATTGTCATGAAACATGGAACAATAATGTTTACAGGGCAATTATACAAGTTTTTAAGGGAACCCAGAGGAAGGACAGGCTAAATGCTTCTTTCTGGATTATACAGTGGTGATTCTATTTAGGCAAAGTAATTAGGTTTTGAAGAAATTTGTTGAAGGAGGTGTGAAACAAGTTTCTTTTGTCAGTTTTTGGTGTTCCTATGCCCAACGTTTCTGGAAAAGTAAAATCTATTATTTTGGTGGTCCCAGAGGCCACCACGTTTTACCTTGGGTTCCTGACATTGTGTGGGAGTAGTCTCAGGTGTGAAAGGCCTAGTACAGAACTAAATCTAGCACAATGATGTGGACAGAGTTAACTGCTGGAAACATTCTTTTCCCAACTGTTGATTTTTAACCTTCTCCATGAAATTGAAAAATTTCAACAACGTGAACAGTTCTCTATCTCAACATTGTTTTTTACAAAACAAACAAAAGAAAAGAAAAGTTAAATACTTAAATGGGCCACTAAAGAACAAATTTATAAATATATCCATGTGCACAAATGGGATACAGCCATTTGAGTCTGTCGGAGGCCACGCGGTGGCGCTGCAGGCTAAAGAGACTGGGGGAAAAATTGAACTGAGAATGCTTTGGATGTCACTAACGAAAAAGATCCTGCAGGCAGCTAGGCTGGGAGAAAAGCTGTAGCTGCCCAAGATTGGGAAGGAAAAAAATCCAGACGCCTGCTACTACGTGTCGTAGGTCTGGGGTTTTCTTCTGTTGTTTCTTTACACTGGGATCTGTGATTGTGACCAGTATTGAGGAAAGATCGTTCAGAGGACGCTATGGAGGCTGACGGGTGGCGCTGCTCAAGACAAAGGCAAGTCCTCTTTCTCTTTATGTTTTGGGGAGTATCCTTGGCAGGTACTGAGTTTGGATGGTATTCCGTGATGGAGGAAACAGAGAGAGGATCATTTGTGGTCAATCTGGCAAAGGATCTGGGGCTGGGGGATGGGGAACTGGTTGCAAGGAGAGCCCGGGTGCTCTTTGACGATAACAAACAACACTTGCTCCTGGATTCTCAAACTGGGGATTTGCTCACAAATGAGAAATTGGACCGAGAGAAGCTGTGTGGCCCTACAGAGCCCTGTATGCTGTATTTCCAAATTTTAATGGATAATCCCTTTCAGATGTACCGGGCTGAGCTGAGGGTGAGGGACATGAATGATCATTCCCCAGTGTTTCAGGACAAAGAGATGGTCTTAAAAATACTAGAAAATACAGCTGAAGGGACAGCATTTCAACTAGAAAGAGCACAGGATTCAGATGGAGGACTTAATGGAATCCAAAACTACACCATCAACCCCAACTCTTTTTTCCATATTAAAATTACTGGCAATGATGAAGGCATGATATATCCAGAGCTAGTGTTGGACAAGGTGCTGGATCGGGAGGAGCAACAAGAGCTAAGTTTAACACTCACGGCACTGGATGGTGGGTCGCCACCCAGGTCTGGGATTGCCACTATACGCATTATGATCCTAGACATCAATGACAATGCCCCGCAGTTTTCTCAGGCAACCTATGTGACCCAGGCCCTGGAGAACAGCCCAGTGGGGTCTCTTATTGCTAAAGTCTCTGCAAGAGATGAAGATTTTGGAGTCAATGCAGATATATCCTATTCATTTTTTGATGCTTCTGCAGATATTCGAGCCACCTTTCAAATAAATCCATTTTCTGGGGAAATCATTCTCAGAGTGTTGCTTGATTATGAGCTAGTAAAGTCTTACAAAATAAACATACAGGCAACTGATGGTGGGGGCCTTTCTGCAAGATGTAAGGTTTTGGTGGAGGTATTGGACACCAATGACAACCCCCCTGAACTGATCATGTCATCACTTTCCAACTCTGTTGCTGAGAACTCTCCTGAGACCACAGTGGCTGTTTTTAGGATTAAAGATAGAGACTCCGGAGAAAATGGAAAGATGGTTTGCTACATTCAAGATAATCTGCCGTTTCTTCTGAGACCCTCTATGGAGAATTTTTACATCCTAATGACAGAAGGAGCCCTAGACAGGGAAAGCCAAGCCGAGTACAACATCACCATCACCGTCACTGACTTGGGGACACCCAGGCTGAAAACCCAGCACAACATAACCGTGCTGGTCTCCGACGTCAACGACAACGCCCCGGCCTTCACCCAAACCTCCTACACCCTCTGGGTCCGCGAGAACAACAGCCCCGCCCTGCACATCGGCAGCGTCAGCGCCACAGACACAGACGCAGGCGCCAACGCCCAGCTCACCTACTCGCTGCTGCCGCCCCAAGACCCGCACCTGCCCCTGGCCTCCCTCGTGTCCATCAACGCCGACAACGGCCACCTGTTCGCCCTCAGGTCGCTGGACTACGAGGCCCTGCAGGCCTTCGAGTTCGGCGTGGGCGCCACGGACCGCGGCTCGCCGGCGCTGAGCAGCCAGGCGCGGGTGCGCGTGCTGGTGCTGGACGCCAACGACAACTCGCCCTTCGTGCTGTACCCGCTGCAGAACGGCTCTGCGCCCTGCACCGAGCTGGTGCCCCGGGCGGCCGAGGCGGGCTACCTGGTGACCAAGGTGGTGGCGGTGGACGGCGACTCGGGCCAGAACGCCTGGCTGTCGTACCAGCTGCTCAAGGCCACGGAGCCCGGGCTGTTCGGCGTGTGGCCGCACAACGGCGAGGTGCGCACGGCCAGGCTGCTGAGCGAGCGCGACGCGCCCAAGCACAGGCTGCTGGTGCAGGTCAGGGACAATGGCGAGCCGCCGCGCTCGGCCAGCGTCACGCTGCACGTGCTGCTGGTGGACGGCTTCTCCCAGCCCTACCTGCCGCTGCCCGAGGCGGCGGCCGAGCAGGCGCGGGCCGACCCGCTCACCGTCTACCTGGTCGTCGCGCTGGCGTCGGTGTCGTCGCTCTTCCTCCTGTCGGTGCTGCTGTTCGTCGCGGTGCGGCTGTGCAGGAGGAGCAGGGCCGCGTCGCTGGGTGGCTGCTCGGTGCCTGAGGGCCCCTTTCCGGGCCACCTGGTGGACGTGAGCGGCACCGGGACCCTGTCCCAGAGCTACCAGTATGAGGTGTGTCTGATGGGAGACCCTGGGACCAGCGATTTCAAGTTCCTGAAGCCGATTCTCCCTAATATCCAGGCAGAGGGCCCTGGGAGTAATAGTGAAGAAAATCCCGCCTTTCGGAATAGCTTTGGACTTAATCTTCAGTAAAAATTCCCTTTGTATTTTCATGTACTTTTGAAGTGTTGTACAACCATATCAATATTAGTTTGGCTTTGAAACTCCAAATTAAATTATTTGCAACTTCAAGCCTAATCTTAAAGTTTCATATATCTATGTTTTTACAATGTTATTTCATCCTTTTTCACAATAATCAACAGTTAGGTTTAATTAGTACCCATTTCTAAATAATAGTTTTAAGGTATAACTTTCAGTATATACAAGGAGTTAATTATTATTTCTCATTCTAGAAAACTAAGGTTTTTATTTTTCTCCTAGTGTATTTCATAGACTACCTCTCACGATCGTATCCACCTGTCTGTTGCACTTCCTTCATGTGAGAACACATACCTGCACTTCTGACCTGATTCTAACATTCTGTTTAATCATGTTATAAAACGATATCATCTAGTTCTAAATCATAGCATTTAAAAAGAAATATTTCTCTGATACTCTGCTCTTGATAAAATGAAACATCATTTTGTGAGTGACATTGGACTCCAATAATATCCTTGTTTTCATACTATTTCATTTCCTTTAAAGACACTCCTCTTACTCAGTTATTTTCTAATGTCCACTTTTGCTGACATATAAAACAGATCATGTCTTATAATTCAAACAAAATGTAATAACCTGCATGAAAATGAATATAAATAAAAATGCTTTGAAAATTTTTGAGAATATTGGTGGACCATTGGAAAGATATTCACTTTTCATTTTATTTTGTAAATTTATTTTAATCCCTACCAATTAAAATTAAGAAGAACTAAAAGTTATAAAGAAAAACAAAGATTCTTCAATCTCCAACCTCCTGCTAGTGCTTTCTCTAGAATTGCTCTCAATATTTCTAAGTAACATGTTTATACTGCTATACCTTGACATTTGGTTTTATATTTTAATCACTTCTTCCTATGGTAAAAAAGGATTCAACATTTTTACTTTCCAACTAACAAACACATATACAAACGTTGCACATTTCTTGTCTCCTATTTTCCAAATAGAGTTGTTGCAGGTTTGCTTTTTTGTTGTTGTTGTTAAACTAGTAGTTTTGTCCATATTGCTAAGGTTACTTCACAATATACATTAGTGTTGTATGATTACATTTCATTCTTGAAAAAAATATTTCCTAAAGCTGATAATTGTTGTTTTTACTTGCCTCATTGTCTATTTATTTTCTATAATATTCCTATTGATTTTTCACATTATCTCTTATTTGAATATTAATCTTTCTCCTTAAATATTAAAAAATGTCAGATACCTGTCAATTATATTTATTTCCTGGAGCTCTTTCAACCACATCCCTCCATATCTCTGCTTCATTTTTACTGGTTGTTCTGTAGGCCGTCACTCTAGGACTTTTATTCCTTTAATACTTTCCTGTGTTGGTCCTCTTTTACAAGATCTAGTATGTTTCTTGGTTTACTCCCTTATTTAACTGACACACATATCTCAATACCTTCATAAAAATGGATGCACAGGAGGTAACATCTTTTGAGACCTTGCCTTGTGAAGGTATCTTCATTTTCTTTGCGTTTAATTGACAGTTTGACTGGGTATAAAAGTCTAGGTTGAATTTTTTTCAAGCTAGATTTCCCTCCGATTTTGGAAGGAGTGTTCCTTTTACTGATTGCATACACAGCTGCTATTCAGAAGACTGATTCCGTTCTGATTCCTACGTCTGTTAATGTCAACACCTTTTTTCATCATGGAAACACTGGAAACTTTTCCTAGTATTCTGAAAATACTTTCATGTCAGCTATTTATTTATTTATTAATCTGGCCATATGGGTGTACCCTGTTAGTGTTTAGACTCTTACTTTCAGTTCTGAGAAATTTTCTTGTTATGTTTTCATCATAATTTCTCCCTTGAATTTTCTACATTTTCACTTGAACCAGAATCTCATTAGGGAAATGATGACTCTCCTGGACTGATTCTCAAAGACTCTAATTTTTTTCCTTTCTTATTTTCTCTTTGTTTCTTGTTCTAATTTTTTGGACAATTTAGTTTATCATCCAATCTTTATATTTAAGTTATTCTTTTTGGCTGACAAATACTTATTTTTAAGAGCCCTTTTGGTTGTCTGAGTGTTTTTCACAGCATCCTGTTATAGATTTGTAAATGTAGTATCTTCTCTCATCTATAATTCATCTCTTTATTTTTTTGAAATGCATTATGCAAAAAATGCATTATGCAGTAAAAACTACTATTATACCTATTTTAAAAGTGAGAGTGAATCACAGAGAAGTTAAGAACTTGTCCAAGGTTATACAGCTAGTAAGGGGCACATAAGCCTTAATCCATTCTTTATCTTACAATAAGAATACATACTTCAAACAGTTACTGTTAAGATTAAATGGGTAAACACTTAAATGTGGCGCTTAGAACAGTGGGTAGCACAGAGTAAATACTCAATAAGTATTAGCTCTTATCAGATTTTACTACTCTAAGGATATTAATCAGACATTTTTGAAGACTTTCTTCAGTTTTCTCTATTATATGTGTTTCATCCTGTTCCTTTTGTTTTGTTTTCTGGTGATAGTGGTTTTGGCCTTTCTATGTCGTGTTGTAGGCATTTCTTCAAACGTCTTGTGATCCTCAGCTGTCTTCTCATATTTAAGAATGGTGAGATATCATAATGTCTATAGTCAGCTTTTTGTGAGTACACGAGGCCTGTTGATGGCAGGGCTTCACTTTAATGTAACCATGCTAGGATAGGACTGTTTCCTTGGGAGACCCCCGAAAACAAGTATGTGTAAGTCTTTATCTGATCCTTTCATATTTTCTAGGTTAGAATTCTACAATATCTTCTGTGTGGGGGCGAGTGAGAGAGGAAGTCAGGCATATACCTTGTGCCCTTCAATCGGAGAGTATTGCATGGGAAGGGGCTAGATTCCTCACCGTTCAGGATGCAAATTTTTTGCTTAATCTCAATATTTTTAGTTTCACACCTCACACTTGCTTTCAGCTGTGCATAGGGTCTCCAAAACTAGAGATAGTCCCATTTAATTTCTACATAGAATAAACTTTTCATTCTGTGGAACTGAGTTACTGTTCTATCTATGTAGGATGATGAGAGGATCAGAGAATTCAACTCTCCTATATCCATATTGTCAACTAATTATTTCTTTTTCAGTCCTTAACTGACTTCAATCTTGTTATGCACTTGGTTCCTCCAAATCTTGACCTAAATGGGATTATGTGGGATAAACCCACCAGTTTCTTGTGAATATCTGCAATGCAGGAAATTTACTTTAGACACTTCTTGGAACTGATAACTTAATTGCTCTTCCATCTGCTTTCTGTTATCAAAAGCATGTGTGTTCATTTGAGAATTCTTAGTCTTTATTACTTCATACCATTTTTATCATTTTTCTGTCATTTTAGTGGGTATGTTAATGGGAGGGAAGATAAGTGTGTAGTCAATCCATCTACTTTTCATTTTCTACCATTTTGTAGTGATTTATTTTTCAACCATGTACCTAGCTTACATTTTTACAAATGTAATTTGAACTTACTTTAAAAATGCAAACTTGTTAGATTCCTCCTCCATCCATTCTTGAGAGCACTTTTGAGATCTCACATCATTGTGAGCTCCTAGCATCTATTCCAAACAATCTCCCCCATTATGTAGTAACCATGCACTTTGGTTAGAGCTGAAACCACTCAAAGCTTAAGAGGTGGTTCCAGACAGGATTAAAACTAAGCAAAAGGCCAAAAATGAGTCTTTAGATTCTGGGACTAAAATCTCTACCTACAATTCTATACCTTTTGAAACAATGCTTGCTTCAGTAGCAGGCATATGATCTTAGTTGCTCTAATCAGAGTAAACTAAGTTTTTCTCCTGTGATTGGAAAAGAGACTCTCTCTCACTCTCTCCTTCTGGGCTGAAAGAGAAAGTAGATAGTGAAAGCTATAGCTGGAATAAATCTTGGGACCCTGCGGGAAGCCGGCTTTAGGAGTAAGCCTGCTTTAAATGAAACTAACATGTTTGGGTACTTATTAAATATTTTTTGGTAAATTATGAGAAACTAGAACTAAATTTTGGATTTAGATAGTATGTTCCACCCAGCATTTTACTTCATTTTTTTTCCCAAGTCATAGTTCATTGTTGTCAAGACAATCTACAGAAATGCCTTCTTGTGCTATAACAACTATCTATATATGTTCCATCTCATGGTTAATCCAGTTTCATATCCTCTGAGAGGACTCTGAAATGACTCGTGCACACTTCCTCTTTCCCTTACCACCTAAAGAAGGTCAAGTAGTGATAGAATTTTGTTCAGTTTAACAGTCATTTCTACTCTCCTTGTTTCAGGCTTTCAATCTTCTCAGAAAGATTCCAAGCTACTGAGGGCCAGGAATCACTTCTTGTGTTTCTGTATTCGCCACAACCGGGCACTTTGGATTGTGGAGAGAGTGGGGAGGGATATTTAAATGCTTTAAAACAAATACTAACAGCATCAGAAACTATAAAGAGTATAAAACAATTCTTATGGAAGATAGGATGTATTTGTAACTACGTAAACACAATGAATAAAACAGTATTTGTTTCTGAAGGACATTTATGTGAATGGAATTTAGGCAGCTTTAATCAAACTCTGAAAATCTGTGGAGACGCATGGTGGCGCTGCAGGATAATATCGTGGGGAAAAAGAGAAAAAAAACACATTACGCTGGATGATGGTCCGGAAACTGTTATCCAGTGAACACAGGGCGTTGGGAAGACAGAAAGAACAAGCCTTCAAGGGGCAAACTAGAAGCTATTCAACGGGGTCAAAATCCTTAGGCTTCCGAAGATTTGGTGGACATAACCGAGGCACATTTGCCAGAACTGCGAAGTGGAGCTCAAACGATTCTACAGGAAGCCTTTGGGAAAGGAGCTATGGAGAACGGAGGGACAAGCACTCTGCGGATAAGGCAAGTCCTGCTTCTCTTTGTTTTGCTGGGAATTTCTCAGGCGCGCTCCCAGTCTGGGCGCTTTTCAGTGGCAGAGGAGATGCAGAGCGGGAGCTTTGTAGGCAATTTGGCAAAGGAGCTGGGACTGGAAATGGGTGAGCTGTTTTCTAGGGGGGCTCGGGTGGTCGCTAATGATGACAAACAGCGTTTGCAGCTGGACGTAAACACGGGGGATTTGCTCTTAAGCGAAGTGCTAGACCGGGAGGAGCTCTGTGGCTCCACGGAGCCCTGTGTGCTGCATTTCCAGGTATTAATGAAAAACCCCGTGCAGTTTTTACAGATTGAGCTCCAGGTCAGGGATATAAATGACCACTCTCCTGTCTTCTTAGAAAAAGAAATGCTGCTAGAAATCCCAGAGAATAGTCCTGTCGGTGCCGTATTCTTACTAGAAAGTGCGAAGGATTTAGATGTAGGAATCAATGCTCTAAAAAACTACACAATAAGCCCCAACTCTCATTTCCACGTTAAAATGAGAGTCAATCCAGACGATAGGAAATACCCAGAGTTAGTTCTGGACAAGGCACTGGATTATGAAGAGCAATCTGAGCTCAGCTTCATCCTCACTGCTCTGGATGGCGGATCTCCGCCCAGGTCTGGGACTGCCTCTGTTCGGGTGGTGGTCGTGGACATTAATGACAACTCCCCTGAGTTTCAGCAGCCCTTTTATGAGGTGAAGATTCCAGAGAATAGTATGCTAGGCTCAGTGGTTGTCACTGTCTCAGCTTGGGATTTAGACTCGGAAAAAAATGGGGAAATATCCTATACTTTTTCCCATGCCTCAGAAGAGATTCGCAAGACATTTGAAATTAATCAAAAGTCTGGAGAAATTAGTTTAATGGCACCCTTGGATTTTGAAACAATTGACTCATACTCAGTAATCATTCAAGCCACAGATGGTGGAGGCCTTTTTGGAAAATCAACAGTCAGAATTCAGGTGATAGATGTGAATGACAACGCTCCTGAAATTGCTGTGTCATCAATTACCAGTCCAATCCCAGAAAATTTGCCTGAGACCGTGGTTATGGTTTTTAGCATCCGAGACAGAGACTCTGGGGACAATGGGAGGATGATTTGCTCCATTCCAGAAGACCTCCCGTTCACCCTAAAATCTTCAGTGGAGAATTATTACACATTGGAAACAGAGAGTCCTCTGGACAGAGAAAGCAAGGCCGAGTATGACATCACCATCACTGTCACAGACATGGGATCCCCCAGACTGAAAACCCAGCACACCATAACCGTGCTGGTCTCCGACGTCAACGACAACGCCCCGGCCTTCACCCAAACCTCCTACACCCTCTGGGTCCGCGAGAACAACAGCCCCGCCCTGCACATCGGCAGCGTCAGCGCCACGGACAGAGACGCAGGCGCCAACGCCCAGCTCACCTACTCGCTGCTGCCGCCCCAAGACCCGCACCTGCCCCTGGCCTCCCTCGTGTCCATCAACGCCGACAACGGCCACCTGTTCGCCCTCAGGTCGCTGGACTACGAGGCCCTGCAGGCCTTCGAGTTCGGCGTGGGCGCCACGGACCGCGGCTCGCCGGCGCTGAGCAGCCAGGCGCGGGTGCGCGTGCTGGTGCTGGACGCCAACGACAACTCGCCCTTCGTGCTGTACCCGCTGCAGAACGGCTCTGCGCCCTGCACCGAGCTGGTGCCCCGGGCGGCCGAGGCGGGCTACCTGGTGACCAAGGTGGTGGCGGTGGACGGCGACTCGGGCCAGAACGCCTGGCTGTCGTACCAGCTGCTCAAGGCCACGGAGCCCGGGCTGTTCGGCGTGTGGCCGCACAACGGCGAGGTGCGCACGGCCAGGCTGCTGAGCGAGCGCGACGCGCCCAAGCACAGGCTGCTGGTGCAGGTCAGGGACAATGGCGAGCCGCCGCGCTCGGCCAGCGTCACGCTGCACGTGCTGCTGGTGGACGGCTTCTCCCAGCCCTACCTGCCGCTGCCCGAGGCGGCGGCCGAGCAGGCGCGGGCCGACCCGCTCACCGTCTACCTGGTCATCGCGCTGGCGTCGGTGTCGTCGCTCTTCCTCCTGTCGGTGCTGCTGTTCGTCGCGGTGCGGCTGTGCAGGAGGAGCAGGGCCGCGTCGCTGGGTGGCTGCTCGGTGCCTGAGGGCCCCTTTCCGGGCCACCTGGTGGACGTGAGTGGCACCGGGACCCTGTCCCAGAGCTACCAGTATGAGGTGTGTCTCAGGGGAGATACCAGGACGAATGAGTTCAAATTTTTGAAGCCCGTTATCCCCAACCTCCCACCCCAGTGCCCTGGGAAAGAAATAGAGGAAAATCCTACCTTCCACAATACCTTTGGTTTCAATATTCAGTGACCATAGTTAACTTCTATATCCCGTATGTGTTTTGTTTTGTGCTGCTTCCAAACCCATGTTATTTCCCCCAGATTATGTGTACTTTAAGTTGTACTGTTACTTTAATATTTTTGCATGTTCTACCCACTTTTACTTTTAAGTGAATGTTTATTTGTAGTTGTAATGAAATGGTGATTTATTCTCCAACCTAGGAGGTCTTAATTTGTAATGAATTTGCCTCCTTAAATAACACCACCAAGTCACTTTTTTCCATGGCCCTCTCTCCAATTGAACTTTCACCCACAGTTATGTTTATGGTAAGATAAAACAGACCACTTTCAAAGTATTTCAAGCGTTCAAGTATTTCTTCATTTCATTCTATTTTGCTTTTTTTCTTGTGGTTTATTAATGGTTGCTATTCAGAAATGTCATTTTTATTTCTTTAAATTCACTGCATTTTTAAGTTAACATTTAAAAGTATTTATTACTGTTGAAAATACACCTGAAGAATCATGTCCTATGATACAACCATAAGTGTAATCACCTTGTTAGAAAGAACCAGAAGGCAATTTTCTTAGCATCTCTTCCTGTTCATCCCAGAGAGGGGTTGTGAAGGCACATTAGTGTTGCGGCCACCCACAGAATCCTGGAATATGAAATTATAATTCTCCAGATGTCTCATTAGTGTTACAAAGCTGTAATGCAATCCATTTGAATGCAGGCACCTGAATAATAATTCATATAGAATAAATTAGTGGATTTGTGTGCTAATGTGTATAATTTTTTGCCTCCTGTGTTATCTTAGAATTTACTATATACACACAGGGCACTAGTTTTCAAACTTTTAAAAGAATTCATAGCCAATAGAAAAATTATGTTGTATATATTACATAACATATGAACATCATAGAAAGAAATGTTTTGTGAGCAATGCTTAGCTTTCTTTGTGATGCAATCTAAAATTTCTTATGTTACTGCATTCCATTTAATTTTCAAATGTGGTCATGGTCCACTAAATTCACTTCATGACCTACTAATGGGTAGCAATCCAAAGTTTGAAAATCACTTTTCTCGGAGATATATGTAGAGCATTGAGAAGTATTAAAAGATAGACTTTTAAGGTTCTAATTTTTAAAAAATTTTCAAACCATTGTACAAGGAAGTTTTGTTTCATGTTGCACAGGCACCAGCCAAACACATCCCGCTCTAGTAATTTGACTATGTTACAGAAGAGAGAGCCTTCATTGTTGGGGGAGGAGTTTTCCAATAAACTTCATCAAAAAGTCTAACCTCTGTATGTTATGGAAGGAAAGCGTAGATTAACAAAGTGAGTAAGGGTATAGAGGGAAGGGAAGTGTGTGTGAAAGAGAGCAGACATGGGAAAGAGGAAACGTGTCAGGATGAGTAAAATAATTCCTTCTATTGTTTCTAGTGCCCAGACTAGAGTCAGTGCAGAGACTGCCTCTTGAAGATATTTTAAAGTTTTGTCTTAATATTGTAGAGGCTGGCTATTAGTCAGTTAACAACACCAGGAAGTACAATCTCTTGCCCTATCATATCCAAAACAATGTAATGTTCACACTTCTTGAAAACTAAGCTCTCACTACCAGTTCTTTTGAACTGTGTGGACTAATGAATTATTCTTTGAATTTAAGAAAAATGGAGAGACTAGAAGTCTCTCTATGCAAGCTAATTAAATTTGAATCTATTATCAGAAGTGGAACTAGGAGCATATCTTTCCTCCCTAAATGAAAGCTTCTTTACACAGAGAACAAAAATTCATAAGATATTAATAAATCAAAGTTAAGTATTAAGATTACCTCCTGTCTTTCCTGCACTTAGTGGGGAAAAGATGGGGGACCACTAGCTTAAAGAGATATAAAGCATTCCAGCTTTTTAGCACGTGGTACCAGGTACACAGACTACTGAAGGTGAAAAACGAAAGTGGCCGCTTCAGGGGCCAGCCTGGTGGTGTAGTGGTTAAATTTATGTGCTCCACTTTGGTGGCCCGGGTTCAGGGGTTTGGATCTGGAGTACAGACTTACCCACCGCTCATCAAGTCATGCTGTGGAGGCTTGATGTCACATATACAAAGTAGAGGAAGACTGGCACAGATGTTAGTTCAGGGACAATCTTCCTCAAGCAAAAAGAGGAAGATTGGCAATGGATGTTAGCTCAGGGCTGATCTTCCTTACCAAAAAAAAAAGAAGAAGAAGGAGAACTGGACACTTTACACACACTAGAGTGGCTACAGTAAAAAAGACAGACAATGACAAATGTTGGCAAGGATGTGGAGAAATTGGAACCCTCATGCATTGCCAGAAGGAATGTAAAGTGGTACAGCCACTTTCGAAAACAAATTTGACAGTTCCTCAAAATGTTAAACATATAGTTACCTTATGACCCAGAAATTCAACTCTTAAGTATCTATTCAAAAGAAATAAAAGCATATATTCACACACAAAAAAACTTACACATAGATCTTCATAGTAACATTATTCATAACAACTGCAAGTGGAAACAACCCAAATGTCCATCGACTGATAAATGGAAAAACAAAACATGATATCTCCATACAATGGAATTGTTATTATTCAGCAATAAAGTGGAATGAAGTACTGGCACATGCTACAACATGGATGAACCTTAAAAAACATTGTGCTAAGTGCAAGAAGCTAGTCACAAAATGTTACAGATTGTATGGTCCCATTTTATGAAATTTTCAGAATAGGCAAATTTATAGAGACAGAAAGCTGATTAGTGGTTGCCTAGGGCTGGAGGGAGGGTAAGGGGTGGGGAGTGACTGCTCATGGATACAAGGTTTCTTTTTGGTGTAATGAAAGTGTTCTAAAATTAGACTATAGTGATAATTGTCCAACTCTGTAAATATACTAAAAACCATTGAACTGTACAATGGGCAAACTCTATGGTATGTAAGTGATATCTCAATAACGCTGTTAAAAATGAAACTGGAAGTGGTTCTGGCAGCCTGTGGTCCCAGGTAAGCTGGGCCTTTTCTCATCTATTATAGAAGGGGAAGAGCAGTTCAAACAACTCAGGCAGAAAGTCTAACAGGCATACAGCAGCAGAGACAAGGACCAAGTACTTATCCTATTGCTTCAAGTTTTTCCAGATACCTGAACAGGAGGACTTGTCTATTTATGGAGAGAACTATGTGCTTCCTGACTCTAATGGAGAGTGGCCAGGCCCAGGAACGTAGATGCCCAAATACAAGTAACCAACCCATAGTCCTAAAACGTATTGCTAAAAACAAATTTTGCTCTTATGTTCAAATGCCTCATTCATGGCTAAATTTAAATTAGTGTGTAGGAGTCAAAGTGCATCAGTCAATTTTATATTCAGGGATCATAGGTTGTCCAGTGGGAAAAGGTCACTTACAAAATGGAGATGGAAGAGATAGCCCAGCCTCCCAGAGTGCTTTTTCTTGAAAACCCTTACCAATAAAAATTAAATAGCAGTTTAGGTTAGATTAGCCAAGAGTAAGGGGAATAAAGGACATAAGGACATTTTAGCTTACAAACACATTGTTCTCCTCATCTCCTTTCTAGCTCAAGTCTTGCTCTCACTCCTGGCCCCTGATTAATCTAACAACATGGCCTCTCGGTCCTCAGGGTTCTCCTCTCCTCTGGTTCAGTCATTAGTGTCTTGGCTACATGCTGCACCTTTCACCACCCAGAACTGTTCTTTCTATGAAATAATAATTTCAGATCTCTCCCTCTGAGAACACAATCTTTTGTGCCTTTACCCTCCCATTCTGCTATTACTATCACATCTTGTCTTTGACCTTATCAGAACCTCCATTCCACGATGCTGCTACCACCTACCACCCCTTCCTGCTTTAATTTCCTTCCTATGCAGATGATTCCCTGGTTTAGCACTCCCAATCACTCTCAAACCCATATCTTCAATCCCCTTGTTCAATTTTCCTTCACTAAAACCACCTGATAAAACTCCACATGAGATGAATATAATCGTCTCCCTCCTCTTCTGTTACGCCTGGGATGTTACACTCTATAAGACAAAACTTAGAAATTACCAATCCTATTGCTACTAAGTTTACCATGTTCAAACTTAATTGGGTTTTCAAAGCCAAGAAATCCTTGTAGATTTTCCTAATCAGCTTTCTCTTCTATTCTCCATAACAACTACTTCAAACCTATTTATCTTACTTTAAACTTCTCACCTTACTAAGTACATACCCCCTTACAGTGGACAAACTTGCCTAATTTCTTACATAGAATCCATCAGATAGGAATTCTCTCAATTTCCTGTCCCCAAACGTATACCCTTGATAGCATCTGTACTTACAGTTTCCTCTGCTGAGGTCCCTTGCACCTAAGTCCAATCCTGGACCCTATATTTAACCACCTTCTAGGGGCTTCACATTGCTTATATCCTCTCTTGGGTATCTTAATTTTCTCTCTCTACTGAATACTACAAATTAGCCTTTTAAATGAGTTCAACTTTCTCTAGACTTAAAAAACAACCCTCTTGAGTCTAAATTCTCCTCCAGATACCAATCTATTTCTTTCTTTTGCAGCCAACTTTCTTGAAAGGATTGTCGTTTTTACTTCCTCACCCTCCTTATTTTTAAACCAAGAGTAATCTAATTTTCATCATAACCACTCTACTGAAACTGCTATTGTAAAGGTGATCATAGATTTTTGTATATGTTAGCTAAGGTTATATGACTGAAACAAAGCGGTGCAACTACCCAGTGGCTTGTAAGTCTGTATCTCTTTCCTGTGACGGTTCTGATGTAAATGATTGGGTAGAATGGGGCAGGTTTGCTCTTTTCAGTCCTTCTGGAACCAAATTTTGTTCCAAGTAATTGCTCCTACATTCCCTGTTGCAATGTCATAATCTGCATGACTGTAGCTGTCACTGCCTCAGCTGGGTTCTAGCTGGCTTGTGGGGGGTGGAGGGAGACACATCCAGATGTCTTCCATTCCAGACCCGGGAGTGGCAAACAAAAATTCTGTGCAACATCCATCTGTGAGAACTTAATTCAATCAGTCACACTAAACTACGGGGGAGGCTGGGACAAGCTATCTGTCTGAGGAGCCATGTGCCTGGCTACAGTTCTATTATGTAAAGGAAGGGAACAGATTTTGGCAGACATCTATCAGAATCCTCCCCAATGATCATCTTCTTGAATCCCATGGATCACTTTAATATTTCTTTTTCTTGAGTTTTCTGAAGCATTTGTTACATTTGATCTTCATCCTGTCCTTGAAATGCTTTTTGCCTTTGGTTTCATGATTCTGCCCTCTGGGACTTCCTCGTCTTTTAAAAGATACTTCTTTTCCCCTCACCTCTAACGACAGTGTTTCTCAGAGTTCTGTGCTAAGCCTCTTCTATTCTTACTTGACACACTTTAGCTTGGTTATCTTAGAGCTCTCATGGTGTCAATCACCATATACATGCTGATGAATCCCAAAGTCCGTATCTCCAGCCCAGATTTATGTCCTGTGCTTTGGTTTTATTTGGACACACTCACAAATATACATAGGCATGTGTGCACGCATCACACATACACACATACATAGCCCACAGGTACTTACCTCAGTATCAGCATGTCCAAAACTGACTTCATCTTTTTCCACTTCAGTTCAGTTTTGTTTCTTTTCTGTGTTCCCTGTCTTAACGAATGACACCACTAGCCATCCAATTACCCATCCAGAGGCATGTTAATCATCCATGAGTCTTTCCTCTTTTTATCCCATGCAACCTATCGAACACTGGGTCTTAAACACTATCTCCTAAATGTCTTTCTAATCATCTCTCTTCTCCCCATCTACACTAGCATTACCCTCATCCAGGCTACCATCATCTCCTAACTGGCCTCTCTAATTCTAGTCAGTCCCCCTGAAATCGATTCTCCATACATCAGCCAAACTGATTTTCCGAAAATGCAAATATGATCATGTTAATTGATTGTTTAAAATCCTACATTGTATTTTAATTGCCCTTAGGATAAATTTTGAAATGCATGATGTAACATATATAATCATTTATGTTCTTACCCTGATTTTTCCCCCAATCTTATTTTTAAATTCTCCTCTTCCCTGGTTTAAAGTTCAAGGCATACTGAACTTCTCTCTGTTCCTCAAAATATCTGTCTGAAACACTCCTCCTTCTCCTGGTTAGCTCCTTCAGATCACAACTTATAGTTTACTACCTCAGGAAAGCTTTCAGTGATGTCCAAAAATTCGGATTAGATTTTATTTATTTTTAACAGGCATTTAACTAGCACTTACTAGCCACTCTGTTGATACTAACTCATTAGATTCCTATGATTGTAATCCTAGGAGGTAAATACTGTTATTACGCCTATTTTACAGGTAAGGAAACAAAGGTACATAATTTGGCTAAGACTGAAGATGGTCAGTGGCAGAACTAGGATTCAAATGTAGATCTTTTGGTTCCACAATCCATGTCCATAATCACTACAGTATGCTACCTTCTAGGTACAAGATGTCCCTTCTAGATATTTCTATATTACTCTTTACCTATACATACATTGTGGCATATTTTAATTAGTTGTCTGCCAAATTTTCTAGCCTGTGAGCCTCAGAAACACAAGGATTATCTCTATCTATTTATGCCATGTCCTTACATGTGTATTTAAAAAATACATTAGTGAAAAAAGTAAAGACGTTACTAACTATAATTGACTGAATTCAACAAGTATTTACAAGAGCGGAGGAGAGAATATATTTGCAATTACTCAAGAAATGGCCTACATAAAATATTATTTCTTTGGTTCAGGACATTTTAATGGAGTCTTCTTGTCAGGCATTCAAAACAACAGTAATTAAATGCATTATATGGACCTTGTTTGGATCCTGATTCACACAAACCAACAGTAAAAACATTTTGGAGAAAACTGGGGAAACCCAAGCACAGACTGTGTATAAATTATATGAAGGAATTATTGCTAAATTTGTTGATTATGATAGTGGTATCATAGTTATATTTGAAAAGTCTTTATCTATGAGAGATATTTAGTGAAATATTTAGAGGTAAAAATATATGATGTCTTGGATTTGCTTTAAAATACTACAGATGTATTCACAAGTTACTTGTTCAAAGAGAAAAAAATTTTACTGAAAAAGAATTCATGGAAACACATGGTGGCGCTGCAGGATAAGATGAGAACGATGCATGGACAACACTGTGGGCTCCATTATTCAGGGGAACAGAGAACATCCAACCCAACGAAAAGAGAGCTATTCAAGAGGCTTCACCTACAGAGCTGCTGGAGGGCTATTTACCCTCCAGCGCTTTCCTGTTAAAAAATCAGGGCTTCAGCTTCCAAAATTAGGGCTGGACTTAACATTTTTCACAGAAGACGTTGCCTGAAGGAACCATGGCGATCAGAGGGGCGCTGGCTCTGCGGAAGAGGCAAGTCCTGATTCTCTTTGTTTTGCTGGGATTGTCTCAGGCGGGTCCTGAATCTGTGCGCTATTCTGTGGCAGAGGAAACAGAAATTGGCTCTTTTGTGGGCAATCTGGCAAGGGATCTGGGGCTTGGGGTGGAGGAGCTGTCCTCACGGGAGGCCCGGGTAGTGTCTGATGACAATAAAAAGCATTTGCACCTCGATTTGCCCACCGGGGATTTGCTCTTAAATGAGAAACTAGACCGAGAAGAGCTGTGCAGCTCCACCGAGCCCTGTGTGCTGCATTTTCAGGTGGTACTGGAAAACCCTTTACAGTTTTTTCGGGCTGAGCTACATGTCAAAGATATAAATGATCACTCCCCTACATTCCTGGATAAGGAAATACTTATTCAAATATCAGAAAGTACCACTATTGGAACCACATTCCTAATGGAGAGTGCCCAAGATTTGGACATAGGAAGGAACAGTCTCCAAAACTACACAGTTAGCCCCAATTCTCACTTCTACATTAAAATTCGAGACAGCAGTGATGGAAAGATATACCCAGAACTGGTTCTGGACAGAGAGTTAGATCACGAGCATGAGCCTGAGCTCAGACTAACACTCACAGCACTGGATGGTGGCTCCCCACCCAGGTCTGGGAAAACTTTGGTTCTCATCAAGGTCTTGGACGTCAATGACAATGCCCCTGAGTTTCCTCAGAGGCTCTATGAGGTGCAGGTCCTGGAGGACACGCCCATTGGCTCCTGGATTATCACCATCTCTGCTAAGGATTTGGATGCAGGAAATTATGGGAAAATATCGTACACATTTTTGCACGCATCAGAAGATATTCGTAAAACATTTGAAATCAATCCAGCATCGGGTGACGTACATTTGAGATCAAGCCTGGATTTTGAAGTAACACAGTCATACACTATAAATATTCAGGCAACAGATGGTGGCGGTCTTTCAGAAGAATGCACTCTTCTGATTAAAGTAATAGATATAAATGACAATCCACCAGAAGTGACCATGTCGTCAATTACAAAGATAATTCCAGAGAACGCCTCAGAGACCCTGGTTGCTCTTTTTAGTGTCCGAGACAAAGACTCTGGGGACAACGGGAGGATGGTTTGCTCTATTCAAGATGACCTCCCCTTTTCTCTGAAACCGACCTTCAAGAATTTTTTTACTCTAGTTTCGGAAAAAGCACTGGACAGAGAGATGAGAGCTGAGTACAACATCACCATCACCGTCGCAGACATGGGATCCCCCAGGCTGAAAACCCAGCACACCATAACCGTGCTGGTCTCCGACGTCAACGACAACGCCCCGGCCTTCACCCAAACCTCCTACACCCTCTGGGTCCGCGAGAACAACAGCCCCGCCCTGCACATCGGCAGCGTCAGCGCCACGGACAGAGACGCAGGCGCCAACGCCCAGCTCACCTACTCGCTGCTGCCGCCCCAAGACCCGCACCTGCCCCTGGCCTCCCTCGTGTCCATCAACGCCGACAACGGCCACCTGTTCGCCCTCAGGTCGCTGGACTACGAGGCCCTGCAGGCCTTCGAGTTCGGCGTGGGCGCCACGGACCGCGGCTCGCCGGCGCTGAGCAGCCAGGCGCGGGTGCGCGTGCTGGTGCTGGACGCCAACGACAACTCGCCCTTCGTGCTGTACCCGCTGCAGAACGGCTCTGCGCCCTGCACCGAGCTGGTGCCCCGGGCGGCCGAGGCGGGCTACCTGGTCACCAAGGTGGTGGCGGTGGACGGCGACTCGGGCCAGAACGCCTGGCTGTCGTACCGGCTGCTCAAGGCCACGGAGCCCGGGCTGTTCGGCGTGTGGCCGCACAACGGCGAGGTGCGCACGGCCAGGCTGCTGAGCGAGCGCGACGCGCCCAAGCACAGGCTGCTGGTGCAGGTCAGGGACAATGGCGAGCCGCCGCGCTCGGCCAGCGTCACGCTGCACGTGCTGCTGGTGGACGGCTTCTCCCAGCCCTACCTGCCGCTGCCCGAGGCGGCGGCCGAGCAGGCGCGGGCCGACCCGCTCACCGTCTACCTGGTCGTCGCGCTGGCGTCGGTGTCGTCGCTCTTCCTCCTGTCGGTGCTGCTGTTCGTCGCGGTACGGCTGTGCAGGAGGAGCAGGGCCGCGTCGCTGGGTGGCTGCTCGGTGCCCGAGGGCCCCTTTCCGGGCCACCTGGTGGACGTGAGTGGCACCGGGACCCTGTCCCAGAGCTACCAGTATGAGGTGTGTCTCAGGGGAGGTACCGGGACAAATGAGTTTAAATTTCTGAAGCCGATTATCCCCAATCTTCCAGTCCATGACACTGGTGGGAATACGGGGGAAAATGAGAACTTTAGGAATAGCTTTGGATTCAACATTCAATAAAATAATTTATTTTAAACTTCTAACCTTTTATTATTCTTTGGAGAAAGTATCTACTTTTTGCCTATGTGTACTGGATTTTAGGTTGCACTGTAGTTGCATGCAGTATCATTTCTTACACTCTCCTCACAGTTGCTTTAAAAATCTTTTTTAGTGGCCATAATGACGTGGAAATACAATCTATGTGCTTTTTTCCCATTTATTTGGTCAAAAATATTATATTAGCAGTTATTGCTAATTTTTTTGTGACAAGTGAGTTGCTATGCAGACAATGTTATTATTTGGAGGTGCAAACTGAAGTATTCAGAGTGAGTGCCACAATATATGTAATTTACTTCCAGACATTTCATTAAAGCATAAAGGAAAAATAAAAAATGCTGTTGGATCTGGGTGGAAAGCATAATGGCTTTTATTGAAAATGTTCATCATAATGGGTAAAAAATGCGATCTCTCCATATTCAGTACTAGGGTACCTTATTTCTTTGCTTTTTGTTGTGTAGTGTTTTTCAAGAATTCACTTTATGACAAAATAAAAGTGATCATATTCGAATTATCGATTTCTTAAGTGATTTTCCTTTGTTGTTGATGCTGTTGTCTTACAATGTTCTGGGCTTTGATAATGCTATTTTGTTTTCTTTAAATATGCCGTGTCCGCTAGTTTAAATTTGTATTATTTTATATTTATCATTACTTAGCGAAAATGTAATTCATGGTATCATCTTGAGCAAAATAACCCTCCCTCAGAATATTACAGATAAAAACTTCTTAAATTAAAATGAAAATTTAAACTGTTAAAGAAATGTATTAGGTTCACTTTCTTATTGATTTTTAAGAGCAAATATAAAAAGTCCTTAATATTTGTGGCCTCTCTCGGTTATCCACAAAGAAGGAATGGGCCTGTATTTATGGTTTTAAATGCCTAATGGTATTATGAATTATAAAGTCTCCAATCTATAGGTGGACAGTTCAATGGATGATTATGGGTAGAGATTTTGATAGCTAGAATGTGGTGTGGATTTAAAGCTAATGTGCATATACATTTCTGTAATTTCATAAAATTAAATATTATAGACTAAATGATGTAGTAAAATGGAATTTTACTTCACATTGTGAAATAAGTGAAGCAAATTCCAATTTCATTAGGAATCTTTTTTTCTTTGCTTCATGCAATTTTTATTGGTTTTATTTTGTGTTGCAACAGATATTTAATAGTTGTGAGAATTTCATTTAAATAGGCATTTAAGCAATAAAATCCTGAAAAAGAATCTTTGGGCCCTCTTTGTCCCTCAGAGTCATAAGAAGCAAATCGTATGTTTCTTATGCATGAGAATAAGAATAGATAAGAACAGGGGCCAGCCAGGTGGTGCATAGTGGTTAAGTTTGGGTGCTCCACTTTGGCGGCTTGGGGTTCACAGGTTCTTATCCAGGCACGGACCTAGCACTGCTCCTCAAGCCATGCTGTGGTGGCATCCCACATACAAAATAGAGGAAGATTGATTAGCTCAGCGACAATCTTCCTCAAGCAAAAAGAGGAAGACTGGCAACAGATGTTAGCTCAGGGCCAGTCTTCCTCACACACACACACACACACACACACACACAGAAAAAAACCCAAGAATAGATAAGAACAGAATATCCTATTTGAATGATTCAGGAACAAACTTGCAGACTACCAGATAGAATAGAATCCACGGTCAGATCCTTTTACAGAACAGAACTTGGTCACAATAGAGGAGGTGTCAAAAATCACTGAGGGTAGGGGCAATACTGATTACTTAGCAAAAGTTATTGGGAAAATTGGCTCATTCCAGAAAGAAACAAAATTCTTATCTCATGCCATCTAAAAATAAACTTCATATGGATCTAAGAGCTGAATTTGAAATACTTTAATTGGAAAAAATGTAATAAATCTAGGTAAAAATATCTTTATGACCTTACTATCAGTTTGAATTTCTTAAACAAGTCTTTAAAAGTCCAAAAAATAAAGAGAAAAATTGACAAATTTTACTACCTGAAAACTAGAGGCTAGCACAGATAAGCTAGCAGATGACAGACAGGGAGAAGCTGCTTGCAGCATTTTAACTGAGAAGGATTAATATTTAGATTATTCATATCACTCTTGCAGATCAGCAAAAGTCAAAAAGTCAAGACAGCCAATAAGATTTTTTAAAAGGATAAAACGGAAAGGAAATTCAAAATAGAATACAGAAAGTCTGAAAAGAACATGAAGTGATGCTCAACCTCATTAGTTGGTGAAATGCATAAAATAAGACACCAGTTTACACCCATAACACTAGTAAAGATGAGAAATTTTGGTAATATTAAGTGAAACAATAGGAAATCACATGTACAGCCATTTTGAGAGATTTTCAATATTATTTAGTAAAATGTAGTATGTACATAACCTATGATCCAGCAATTCTATTTTGGAGTATATAAACTGGAAAACTCTTCACAGCTTCACAAATGATGTGCATAGGCATGTCCATCTTGAGAGAGCAAAGAATAGGAGCCTAACTACATATCCATCAGTAAACCAATTGATAAACAAAATGTGGAACATGTTTATGAAGAAGTATTACGCAGCAATCAAAAGGAGTGAACTAGGTGTACATAAAACCACATGGATAAATCCCAAATGTTTTAAAAGGAAAGAGACTGAGGCTTATAGTACAGTGCCATATAATACATAATATCCTATATTTGTTGAAACATACAAATATGTAAGTAAACATATCAGAAGGAGAGAAGAAGGAACAGCTGTACGAAACAGATATGTGTTTACATATAGAAGAAGGAGGGGTGCAGAGAGAAGTGGGAGCTACACCAATGTCGATGATAGCAATCATCTTTTCCAAGAGATTGTTTAAATTGATTGCAGCATTATAGAGCTCATTTAGTATTGATCAGTTGAAGTTGGTAAAAAATATATATTATTTCTTTATCCCTTCAGGTAGATCAATTGCCTATACCCTATGAAAGCTAAGAGTTTACTTGTAATTTTGAGACATAACAATATCCTTGAGACTTTACATTTTTAATGAGGATGGTATAGATTATGTAGACCAACTCTTCCACTGAAAGCAATTAGCTAATAAGACACTAATATATTGTCAGGCCACAGTTAATGTTTAAAGATAACCCAGAATATAAATGAGCTCCAAATCCACTTTTTCCCTGGGAACACTTGGAATCTTGGGAAATGTGAGCGTCTATTTTGATGGTTTTTATAATGAGGGAAGAAATCAAAGCCTAACAAAGTGAGAAGTTTATAAAAGACCCTCGCACTAATAAATATGGATCCTTAAGAACTACACCTTTATGGTGAAAGCAAACTGGAAACGGATGAGCCCTTGTGTGGACTTTCAGCTTTGAACTTGATTGTTAGCACTGAACTTGCTTTAAGGTGGTCTTTGACAGATAGTGCGCCCAGATCCTCATAGAACCAAATGCAGACCTTCGGTCAAAACGGGTTTATTCATGCTAAGCCTAGGATTATTCATATAAATAATTTTTATGTTAACTTGAATACAAAGATAACTTCATACACAAGGAAACATGACACCATGAGTGAAAGCCAGCAGAAAAAAACCAGAACATAGAAATAATCTTGCAAACGCTTCAAATATTTTAATTATCAGACACAGTCTATAAGATGCTAACCATTTTAGTTGGAATAAAAGTTATACTTGAAGATGTACAGGGAATGAGAAACTATAAAATGTGATAGATTAGAAAAGAACCAAATAGAACTTCTACAACTGAAAAATATGATAAACAAAATTTAAAACTAAATAAAAGGTTTAACAGAAAATTAGATACAACCAAATAAAGAACTTGTGGAGTGAAAGGTCAGAAAATAATTTATCCAGCATGCACCTCAGAGAGTTCATAAGATGAAAAATACAGAGGAGATGGTTGGAAACATAAGACAAAATAAAAAGATTTAACATATATTTAACCAGAATTCCAGAAAAACAGATGAGAAAGATTGGATCAGAAGCAATATTTGAAAAAATAATGGCTGAGATTTTTCTAGAATTGATGAAAATATCAATGTACAGATCCAAGAGACCCAAGTAAACCTACCAGCATAAATAAAAGATAAGCATGCCTAGAAACATCATTGTGAAATTTCAGAAAGACAAAGACGAAGAGACATCTTTTGAAAAAAGAAAAGGCACAGGAAAAAGATATTTAGTCTTTAAACACATGACAGTTAGATGGACAGCTATGGTCCATGTTGACAATTTCTCAACAGTAGCAATGAACACTACAAAAAGAAAGTAAAATATCTTTGAGGTGCTGAAAGGAATTAGCAAGCCCTCCTGCCTAAATAGTCATTGCACATGAGAGTCATCAAATGAGAGAATCAGGGGCCAGCCCAGTGGCACAGCGGTTAAGTTTGCACGTTCTGCTTCGGCGGCCCGGGGTTTGCCTATTGGGATCCCGGGTGCAGACCTATGCACCACTTGTCAAGCCATGCAGCAGGCATCTCACATATAATGTTGAGGAAGACAGGCATGGATGTTAGCTCGGGGCCAGTCTTCCTCAGAAAAAGAGGAGGATTGGTGGCAGATGTTAGCTCAGGGCTAATCTTCCTCAAAAAAAAATTTTTTTAATAAGAGAATCAAATCACCTGGATATCAGTTTTGTTTTAAAATTAATCAAGATCATGGGAGTGAAGTGGTGCAGAGACATTTAATCAAATGTAGAGACATTTGAATCAAATTCAAATGTAACTTATTACAGTTTTCCTCTGTCCATCCCTTGTCACAATTCTGAGTCCAGGAGTTTGACCTATCTCTGTTTCTTCTTATTCATCTTTCTTCACCTCTAGTGACATTCACTTCTACTCTACTCTAGTCACCTATGGCCGTGGCCATTTTCTGGTGGTAACATCCTAGAGCTGCATCATCTCTGAAATCACAAATTCAAACATACTTCTCTTAATCTACAACACACATTCTTTCTTGAAGGGCTTCAATCACCATTTATACCAATAAATACCAAATTTGTCTCTACAGCCCAAACCTCTTTTGTCAACTTTATTTATGTAATGGAAGATCATTTATATAACTGTTTACATACATGTTTTATGGCCATCTCAAACCCAGCATATTTTAAATTAAAATTTTCTCTTCCTCAAAACTAAACATCTTCTCCAGCCTTGTACCTGTTCCTCTCTTCTCTCTTCTTGTGTTTTCTCTATCAATTAATAGCACCAACACTCACTTAGTTCCCTAAGCCAGGAAAAAAGCACATTTACTTTCACTCCTTATCCCACTTGCTCTATGTCCAATCTATCACCACATCCTGTATATTTTATCTTTATCATTCTAATACAGCTCTATTACTGCATTTCTAGCTGAGGCCAATATCGTCTCTTACCTGTTACTGAAACTTCTAATCAGTCTCTTGTCTCTAGTCCTATTCCTCTCTAATTTATTCTCAACTCTGAAACGGGATGATGTTTTGAAAGATAAAAACATGGTCATGTCACTTGTCTGTTTAAAACCTTTTTTTTTTTTTAAAGATTTTATTATTTCCTTTTTCTCCCCAAAGCCCCCCGGTACATAGTTGTATATTCTTTGTTGTGGATTCTTCTAGTTGTGGCATGTGGGACGCTGCCTCAGTGTGGTTTGATGAGCAGTGCCATGTCCGTGCCCAGGATTCAAACCAACGAAGCACTGGGCCGCCTGCAGCACAGCGCTCGAACTTAACCACTTGGCCACAGGGCCAGCCCCTGTTTAAAACCTTTTAATAATCTTGCATTTCCATGGATGCAGAGTCCAAATGCCTTGGCATGGCTTACAAAATATTTGCTTATCTTTCCAATCTCAACTCTCACCATTTCTATCCTCTTGCAGCTCAGCTATATTGATCCTATTGCAGTTCTTTCAAAACATTTCTCTTACTTTGGATTTCCACTATCATGTCTTTAGTTTGCCTGGAAATTTTACCCGACACCCAGTTTTTGTGTGGATTACTCATACTCATTTTTTTTGTATCCATTTGGAACACACTTTTTCCAGAAAAGTCTTTCCTATACTTCCAAATTCCGATTAGATGACCCTCACCTATGCTCTTATAGTGGCATGAACTTTTGCTATCATGGCATTCATTATGCTCTACTCTAAATGTGTGATCACTTTTCTGCCTCCATCTTTCAGGACAGAAACTGTGTTTGTCTGTTTACCAATCTATTCCTAACACTTATTACCATTCCTAGCATGAACAATATGCTCAAAAAATATTTTATGAATAAATGAATGAATGAATGAATAAAATATTTAGAATTGTACCTCTGGAAGACCTGAGTCTGCAAAATGGAATTCAGTTCCACAACTAAACTGGGGTCTAGTTGGTTCAACCTTTTTTAATGTTGTCAGAGACTGGACGTATCTGACTTTATTCACTACTTTTGAGCATTTACTTTCTATTGCTGCCAGGCAAGTCTCCTACGGAGTATCCCTGAATAAATGATACCATTTACCCAGTCTTAGATGTCCAGCCTCCTCAAAACAACTATTTGCACTTACCAGGTTCAGTTTCAAGTTCATGACTTTATTCTGATTGTCTTTTCTAAGAGTATTTGCTGACAGCTAGAGAAGACTAAGACCTCCGGTTCCCGTTTCCAGCTTTCCTAGGAACCTTTTGCTCACTTAGTCAATCACATAAGAGAGTCCTTTTAGCTATTTTTAGTTGTTTTACATATTGTCTGCACACAGAGATCATAACTCATTTGAGGCTAGGGCTATATCTTAAATATGCTTTTTATATCCACCACAGCTCTAGCAGATTGTGGTTTATTGTGTTAAAGACTGAACAATAATAGCATCACATATGACAAAGAATGCAACTCAGAAAAGAAAATACGAATATCAGAGAAAATACAATTTAAATTTTTCAACAAACACAGAAGATAGATTAATATTTTGTCTCAAACTTATTTGACTTTGCTTAAAAGCTGAGACTCTGCAGAGTCGCATGGTGGCGCTGCAGGATAAGATGGGGAAATTTTTGCAACCTCAGATGCTCTGGTTTCCATTAACCAGTGGAACTGAAAGCGCTGGAAAAGCAGGGGGCGGAAAGAGGCTTTCAAGAGAAAGCTAGGGAGACAACAACACCTTTGAGACGGGATTACAAGTCTATAGATTCTCAAAGTTCCAGGCTGATAGATGAGAAGAGCAACTCGCAGGGCTGTTTGAGACCGAGTTGAAACATTTCTGCAGAAAGACGTTTGGCTAAGGAGCAATGGAGCCTGGAGGGGGGAGCCGTCAGCAGATAAGGCAAGTGCTGCTTTTCTTTGTTTTCTTGGGAGAGTATTTGGTGTGTTCAGAAACCTGGCGCTATTCTGTGGCAGAGGAAACAGAGATTGGCTCCTTTATAGCCAACCTAGTGAAAGACACAGGTTTGCGTGTGGATGATCTTGCTGTGCGGGGAGCCAGAGTCATCTTTGACGACTATAAACCATATTTGTGGTTGGATCAGCAGACTGGCAACTTACTCTTAAATGAGCAACTGGACCGGGAGGCACTTTGCGATCTCACTGAGCCATGTATATTGCATTTCCAGGTCTTATTTGAAAATCCCTTGCAATTTTTTCAGGCTGAGCTTTGGGTCAAAGACATAAATGATCACACTCCTACGTTCCTAGAAAAACATATACTTCTGAAAATCTCAGAAGGTACTGCTCCAGGAGCCTCATTCCATATAGATAGTGCTCAGGACTTGGATGTAGGAAAGAATGGTGTTCAAAACTACACATTAAGCCCTAATCCTCATTTCCACCTTAAATTACAAGACAATGATGGGGGCAGAAAATACCCAGAGCTGTTACTGGACCAATCTCTGGATCGAGAAAAGGAGTCTGAGTTTAGATTAACGCTAACAGCCTTGGATGGTGGGTCTCCGCCCAGGTCCGGAACTGCACTGGTTCGCGTTTTGGTCTTAGATATCAATGACAATGCTCCAGAGTTTGAGAGACCCATCTATGAGGTTCAGGTACCAGAGAACAGCCCTCTGGACTCCTTGGTCGTCCAGGTGTCTGCTACAGATTTAGATGCAGGAATAAATGGAGAAATATCTTATTCATTTTCTCACAATTCCAGAGACATATGGAAAACATTTGAAATCCATCCAATTTCTGGCGAAGTCCATTTAAAAGCGCTTCTGGATTTTGAGTTAACTCAGTCTTATACAATTAATATTCAGGCCATTGATGGTGGGAGCCTTTTAGGAAAATCAACAATTTTAGTTCGAGTTGTAGATGTGAATGACAACCCACCAGAAATAGTCATGACATCTCTTACCAGCCCCATACCAGAAAATTCGTCGCCTGAGATGGTCGTCGCTGTTTTTAGCGTTCGAGACCAAGACTCTGGGGACAACGGGAGGATGATTTGTTCAATTCAGGACAATCTCCCCTTTGTCTTGAAGCCTACCTTCAAGAATTTCTACACCCTGGTAACAGAGCGCCCATTGGACAGAGAAAGCCGAGCCGAGTACAACATCACCATCACCATCACAGACATGGGAACACCCAGACTGAAAACCGAGCACAACATAACCGTGCTGGTCTCCGACGTCAACGACAACGCCCCGGCCTTCACCCAAACCTCCTACACCCTCTGGGTCCGCGAGAACAACAGCCCCGCCCTGCACATCGGCAGCGTCAGCGCCACAGACACAGACGCAGGCGCCAACGCCCAGCTCACCTACTCGCTGCTGCCGCCCCAAGACCCGCACCTGCCCCTGGCCTCCCTCGTGTCCATCAACGCCGACAACGGCCACCTGTTCGCCCTCAGGTCCCTGGACTACGAGGCCCTGCAGGCCTTCGAGTTCGGCGTGGGCGCCACGGACCGCGGCTCGCCCGCGCTGAGCAGCCAGGCGCGGGTGCGCGTGCTGGTGCTGGACGCCAACGACAACTCGCCCTTCGTGCTGTACCCGCTGCAGAACGGCTCTGCGCCCTGCACCGAGCTGGTGCCCCGGGCGGCCGAGGCGGGCTACCTGGTGACCAAGGTGGTGGCGGTGGACGGCGACTCGGGCCAGAACGCCTGGCTGTCGTACCAGCTGCTCAAGGCCACGGAGCCCGGGCTGTTCGGCGTGTGGCCGCACAACGGCGAGGTGCGCACGGCCAGGCTGCTGAGCGAGCGCGACGCGCCCAAGCACAGGCTGCTGGTGCAGGTCAGGGACAATGGCGAGCCGCCGCGCTCGGCCAGCGTCACGCTGCACGTGCTGCTGGTGGACGGCTTCTCCCAGCCCTACCTGCCGCTGCCCGAGGCGGCGGCCGAGCAGGCGCGGGCCGACCCGCTCACCGTCTACCTGGTCGTCGCGCTGGCGTCGGTGTCGTCGCTCTTCCTCCTGTCGGTGCTGCTGTTCGTCGCGGTGCGGCTGTGCAGGAGGAGCAGGGCCGCGTCGCTGGGTGGCTGCTCGGTGCCCGAGGGCCCCTTTCCGGGCCACCTGGTGGACGTGAGTGGCACCGGGACTCTGTCCCAGAGCTACCAGTATGAGGTGTGTCTGAGGGCAGGTTCAGGGACCAGCGAGTTCAAGTTTCTGAAATCTCTTGCCTGCGACCATCAGGGGTCTGTGAATGATGTGGAGGAAAACTCAAACTTTGTAAATGGTTTTGGATTCAATTAGGAATTCGTTGATTTTTCAGAGTGTTCAGGATGAAGGTTAGTTCTTTCTAAATGTACTAGGTCTCCATTACCCTTTTTGGCCCATAGAGAATTTCTTGGTCTTTTGTTGATTTCGTTTTCCTAATTAAGGAGATTACTAATTTTCTTTGAGTATATACTCATATATCCTCTCTTTTTGTCATTTCTATTTTGATGGAGACAAAGAACTTTCAACTCTACTTCATTACTGAAAAGTTATATTTGTTCAATTTATCAATTTTTCATCATCAAAGGCCATTGATTAGAAGATGACCTCAGTACTATTTTCTGTTTAATTGTTGTCTAGAAACTTTCTAAATTTTTGATGTGGTTACTCAGGAGACAAGTATGATACAAATATAATGAATTATTAGTATATATTCTGTTCACTCTGATATTTTGCGTACCTGTCAAATTGTTAAATGGAGAAATGTCTGCAAAAATTGCATGTTTTTGTTTCACAGTAGTATTAAATGGAAAAGACTACAATTTCTCCCATAATTAGGGGCTTTTCTTCTCTTTATATCACCCTTCAGTATATAATATATATGAGTATTATTGAAAGGTTATTAGAATATTTCTAGATATTTAAATAATAGATCCCTTTGTGGTGTCTGTCTAGCCCATCCACTCTTCTTCTGGAAACTTCTCTCGTCAGAAGTGTACTCTTCCAGCCACGTCTATTTTATATGACTCACCTCTCTCTGTGATTTCAGACAACCAGACAAGGTGGTAGACATTGCTGATCCAAGCTGGGACAATTTGATTCTCTCTGTTTAAAAAAATGGCTTTAGAAACAAGACATAAAATAGTCTCTCTATTAGGAACTTAACAAGAAAGCAATATCATGTTGGCTAAATACATGGAAAGAAGCACAGAAAGGCCACACAGAGACAAAAAGGCAGGAGATGCCTAAAGAGTAACTTCCTGTAGATTTTCCAGTCCCTCCCAAGTCTGCTTTCTCCCTCGGGTTTTTGGAAACAAATATGTGCTCTTTTAATAAATTTCCCCCTCATTAAGATAGCTAAGTGGGTTTTTTCCCTTGTTGAAAGCATGTTTAGATATTCTTGCGTGGATTGAACCTCAGTATTAACCTGTGATTTTAAAAATTGTGGTTTTCATGTTAATATAATAATATTTGTGATCAAAAGGTTGTGGACTATTGGTAGTCAGTAAGGAACACGCACAAGCTTTTGTTAGAATATGTGATTTTGAGAAGAACTGATGGATATTTCTAAGTTGTACAGTTTTGGGAGTGTTTAACAGAAATTCTTAGAAAACTCTACTGCTTAAAAAAGAGTTTTAATATCATTACTGTCATAATAGCACTAGCAAGAAATAACACTGACAATGTAAATGCGTTCTAAAAGGGACGCACAGCTTATCTGTAGAATCATTATAGCCTGATGTCATGTTCTTCCGTTTTTATAGTGTATCTCTCTGCTTAAGGGGAGCCAGAGTATTTTGCCATTTAATGAAAAAACACTTTAGATCATTCTGAATCATTTCAAATTTCTATTCAAAGGAGCATAGAAAGTAGCTACTTGGGAACATGTGTTTTGTTTATCCGGCTCATATAATGAACTAGGGTCCAAGCAAAAAAGGGGACTTCTACATTAGGAGGAGAATCTGCTGGTCAGAATTTTTAAATTAATTGTTATTTATTCATTGATCTCTTCCACAAATATTTGTTGAATATCTACCATGTGCCGGGAACTATTCTCGATGTTGGGGGATGTAAAAGTGAACAAAACAAAGTTCTAAAACTCAATGGTGACATAATTAAATATGTAAATATATGCTGTATCAGATGGTGATCAATGCTAAGGTGAAAAAGCAGGGTAAGAGATATAGGAAGTGCCCTCATATGCATTTTCCCATAGTTTGAAAGTTTCATAAAATCGTAACTCTCTGACCTTACGTCGAAAGGGGATTAGAAACTGGAATTAACTGGTAGCTTTTTCCTTGATGTGATTCAACCAATGAGAACCACAATTCTGGCACACAGACTACCTGAAATTTGAAAAAAAAAATCGAATGAAATTCATCCTTTTTGCTGAGAAAATTTAACGAAATCACTCAGATAGATATATGTTATTACTTTTACAAGATGGCTGATCACTATTGTCTTCTTTCACTTCTCAGTTCTCCTTAGGGCAGCTCACCCAGACGACAGGTTCTAGAAGGTAGGAACCGTGTCTGAGTGTTCACTGATGTATTTCAGAACCTAGTACATAGATATCAATAATATTTATTTGAATGAAGGAATGAATAATTATAATTGCGTGATTTTCTGATTACATGGTCTGCCCCAAACTATTTCCAAACTTCTAATAACCCACCAGATTATTACATGGAGAGAATACAATTGTAGCAATTCTTTTCGAAGACAACGCATGGTGGCGCTGCAGGCTAAGGCGTCAAAAATAAAGCCCAGGAAACGCTACGAACTGTACCTCAGATCTCCGGCGGAAGAGAAAAGCCAGTAAGCAGAGCTCAGAACTTGTACTGTCTCCAGAGAATGCTACCCACTGACATTGCCGGACAGGTTACCAACTGAGAGATCCATCACATCTCAGTCCCATCGCTCCCTAAGGTAGAGCTGGGCCCTGTTCCTGGAAAGGCGTTTGTGGAAGTAAAGATGGAGGCTGGAGGGGATCGCTTTCCTAAACAAAGGCAAGTCCTGATTCTCTTTCTCTTGCTGGGAGTGGCTCTGGCAGGCTGGGAATCCCGTCGCTATTCCGTGACGGAGGAAACAGAGAGGGGTTACTTTGTGGCCAACCTGGCCAAGGACATGGGGCTAGGAGTGAGGGAGCTAGCTGCGCGGGGAGCCCGCGTGGTCTCTGAGGATAACGAACCCCGCTTGCAGCTTGATCTGCAGACAGGGGAGTTGATATTAAATGAGAAACTGGATCGGGAGGAGATGTGCGGCCCCACCGATCCATGTGTGATGCATTTCCAAGTGTTACTCAAAAACCCGTTGGGAGTATTTCGAGCTGAGTTACTGGTGAAAGACATAAATGATCATTCTCCTGAGTTTCCTGAAAGAGAAATGACGCTGAAAATCCCAGAAAGTAGCCCTCCTGGGACTGTGTTTCCCCTGAAAAAAGCCCAAGACTTGGACGTGGGCAACAACAACATTCAAAACTACGATATCAATCCCAACTCTCATTTTCATGTTTCCACCCGAGACCGGGGGGACGGCAGGAAATACCCGGAGCTGGTGCTGGACAAAGAGCTAGATCGCGAGGAGCAGGCGGAGCTCAGATTAACCCTCACGGCGCTGGACGGCGGCTCTCCACCCCGGTCCGGCACCGCCCAGGTCCGCATCCTGGTCCTGGACGTCAATGACAACGCCCCTGAGTTTGCGCAGACGCTCTATCAGGTGCAGGTCCCAGAGAACAGCCCGGTAGGCGCCCTAGTCGTCAAGGTCTCTGCTAGAGATTCAGACAGTGGGACAAATGGAGAGATATCATACTTCCTTTTTTATACTTCTCAGGAGATAAGCACAACTTTTGAGCTAAACACACTTTCAGGAGAAGTTCGACTAATTAAAAAACTAGATTTTGAGACAATATCTTCATATGAGCTGGATATAGAAGCGTCAGATGGTGGGGGACTTTCTGGAAAATGCTCTGTCGCCATTGAGGTAGTGGATGTTAACGATAACTCTCCAGAACTAACTATTTCCTCACTTACCAGCCCCATTCCTGAAAATTCCCCCGAGACAGAGGTGGCCCTGTTTAGGATTCGAGACCGAGACTCAGGAGACAACGGAAGGATGACTTGCTCCATCCAAGATGATCTGCCCTTCCTCCTGAAACCATCTGAAGAGAATTTCTATACTCTGGTTACAAGTGGGGCGCTGGACAGAGAAAGCCGAGCCGAGTACAACATCACCATCACCGTCACAGACATGGGTACCCCCAGACTGAAAACCGAGCACAGCATAACCGTGCTGGTCTCCGACGTCAACGACAACGCCCCGGCCTTCACCCAAACCTCCTACACCCTCTGGGTCCGCGAGAACAACAGCCCCGCCCTGCACATCGGCAGCGTCAGCGCCACGGACAGAGACGCAGGCGCCAACGCCCAGCTCACCTACTCGCTGCTGCCGCCCCAAGACCCGCACCTGCCCCTGGCCTCCCTCGTGTCCATCAACGCCGACAACGGCCACCTGTTCGCCCTCAGGTCGCTGGACTACGAGGCCCTGCAGGCCTTCGAGTTCGGCGTGGGCGCCACGGACCGCGGCTCGCCGGCGCTGAGCAGCCAGGCGCGGGTGCGCGTGCTGGTGCTGGACGCCAACGACAACTCGCCCTTCGTGCTGTACCCGCTGCAGAACGGCTCTGCGCCCTGCACCGAGCTGGTGCCCCGGGCGGCCGAGGCGGGCTACCTGGTGACCAAGGTGGTGGCGGTGGACGGCGACTCGGGCCAGAACGCCTGGCTGTCGTACCAGCTGCTCAAGGCCACGGAGCCCGGGCTGTTCGGCGTGTGGCCGCACAACGGCGAGGTGCGCACGGCCAGGCTGCTGAGCGAGCGCGACGCGCCCAAGCACAGGCTGCTGGTGCAGGTCAGGGACAATGGCGAGCCGCCGCGCTCGGCCAGCGTCACGCTGCACGTGCTGCTGGTGGACGGCTTCTCCCAGCCCTACCTGCCGCTGCCCGAGGCGGCGGCCGAGCAGGCGCGGGGCCGACCCGCTCACCGTCTACCTGGTCGTCGCGCTGGCGTCGGGTGTCGTCGCTCTTCCTCCTGCCAGGCGTTGTGTCCCGAGTCGGCGTCCACCGCCACCACCTTGGTGACCAGGTAGCCGGGCTGCGCGGCGCGCGGCACCGTGTCGAAGAGCGCCGAGCCGTCGGGCCCCAGCGCCGGGTACAGCACCCTTGGCGCGTTGTCGTTGCGGTCGCCCACCAGCACGCGCAGGCTCGCTTGGCGCTGAGCGCGGGCGAGCCCTGGTCGCGGGCCTGCAGCGTCAGCTCGAAGGCGCGCAGCTGCTCGTGGTCGAAGGAGCGCTGCGCGAACACCACCCCGCTCTGCGCGCTTCACCGACACGTAGGACGACAGCGCCCGCGGCTCCAGGTCGCTGGCCACGATGGAGTAGGAGACGCGGCCGTTGGGTCCCAGGTCGGATCTGAGGCGCTGACTTGGGCGATGGAGGCGCCGGGCGGGTTGTTCTCGGCCACGTAGACCACGTAGGAGGCCTGGTGGAAAACCGGAGCATTGTCGTTGACGTCGCCGATGTGTAGGGTGACGCTTGTACTGGAGGAGAGGGGCGGCTTACCTTTGTCTGTGGCTGTGATGGTGACATTGTACTCTGCCATCTGCTCCCGGTCTAGGGCACTGTCAATCACCAGTTTGTAATAATTCTTGGAGGTGGATTCTAATTTGAAGGGAACTTCTTCCTGAATATAGCACATCACCAGACCATTTTGCCCAGAATCCTGGTCTTGCACTTTAATGAGGGCTATTACACTTCCAAGGTCTGAGTCCTCGGGAATATGGTTAGAATAGGACATGAACGTCACCTCCGGGGCATTGTCATTCTGATCAACAATATCAATCTGAACATTACAGTGCGCCGTGTGCACTCCTCCATCCTTGGCTTCTACACCCAATATATATCTGCTTGTCTCTTCAAAGTCCAATGTACCATTGGTTGTGATGTCGCCAGTATTTGGATTGAGATTGAACAGGAGGCTGGTACTTGTTGGGGCATTGAGGAAGGCATAGGTGACCTCTGCATTAACGCCCTCGTCCTGGTCAGTAGCCATCACCCGCAGCACGGAGGTTCCCGGAGGCACGTTTTCTTGGAGGCTAACTCTGTAAGACTCCTGGCTGAACAACGGAGCATTATCATTGGCATCAGTGACCTGGATCCGGATCTGCGTGGTGCCACTTAGAGGAGGGTCCCCGCCGTCCATGGCAGTCAGGATTAAGCGGTGGGAGCTCTGCTGTTCTCTGTCCAGAGGTTTTTCCAGCAGTAATTCGGGGTATTTAGTTCCATCAGGACTTTCCTTCGTTGACAGAGAGAAGTGTTCATTGGGGTTGATAGTGTATATCTTCAGTGAGTTACTTTCTACGTCGCATCTTGCGCAGAATCCAGGGGGAATTTTACCCCTGGTAAGGCTGACTCACAGATTTCCAAGTCAATGGCTTTTGCAATGAAATGTGGTGCATTGTCGTTAATATCTTGGATTGCAACAATCAGGTGGAAAACATTCATTGGGTTTTCAGCGACCATTTCAAATTCAAGCGCACACTCAGATTTCCTCCCGCAAATCTTCTCTCGATCTATTCTACCGCTCACTAACAAATCCCCACTCTCCGCACTCACGCTGAAAAAATCCTCTGCACTAATCCGCAATTTTCGAGCTGGCAATTCCTGAACACTGAGCCTCAGATCCTTGGCGAGGTTCCCCACCCGCGAGCCCTTGGCCAGCTCCTCGGGAACCGCGTACTGGATCTGCTGGGAGATGGCTCTGCCCAACAAAGACAACAGGAAGAGAAACAGTACCTGATTTTTCATCGTTTCAGCTTTTCTGGAGCTCCTTTGCATTTCTTGAGCCCTCTGAGAAATTTCTTTTCAAGATGTCTCTGGGATATTTAAAAAATCCAGGGTGACAGCACCCTGGACTTTTGTGATTTGGAGGTAAGACTTGTTTGTTCGGCACCTGAGGGTGCACAGGAGCGGTGCTGGCGTTCGGAGGTGCGCAGGACAAAGCAGGCGAGCACCCTGCTCCAGGCTCCTGCAGAACCGAGAGTGCTTTTCTTCCCTTTGGTCAACAGCGGCGCCCGGAGGTTGTCTGGGAAAACTGCATATTGCCCAGCTGTTTATCTTCAAAATGTAAGCTCTTGAGTCTATGTACCTTGTCTTTTTATTGGTTGAAAAGAACCAAGTATTCAAATTTTCCCTTTAAATTTGATGTTTTCTAGTTTTTCATCATCTCATCAGCGTTGTCCTAATTTTACATTCTTCTTGTTTCATTAAAATTTTTTCACAAGGCATACAGCCATTTTTTCCATTTTGGGGTCAAAAATATCTTCAACGATATCACTGTATTTATAAACACTGGCATGACTAGATGGTTGTAACCAAATAGGTTACTGGCTTTTTATCCACATTTTAGTGGACTATGATCCTTACATTTCTGTAAATCCATAACTTCCCTTATTTAGTATTTCAACTCTCCCCATTTTATCAATTCAGTAATACTTTTCAAAGATATAGTCTCTGCAAAAAAGAGTCAAGGTCCTAGACTTATTTTAATGTATTGCTCATCTTATTAAAACATAGATAACCCCATTAAGTTACAGCAGACCCTGATATTTTGTTAAAGGGATCAGTTTAGTATTTGAGCACACTATATGCCTTTATAAAGCTGAACCAAGTCTACACCATATTTATTTTGTGAAATGAGCACTTCTTTACTATATGAATATATATACACTACTCCATAATGCCAGTTCTCAGCTCCAGTCAATTTATACCACTAATAAGTAAAATGAATTTGACTTGATCACTGGTAAATCTTGGAGAGGCACTGAGAGTTCTTAGACACCACATTTTGGAACTTACTCTGTAATCCTTGAACTGGTCTTCATAACTGAAACAAACACCTTTATGTCAAATGCATTACCCAATTAGATGCCAACTCAACAATTTATTCTACTATTTTACAGTGGTAACCCATACTCATCTTACACTCCAGTCA